GGTACCGGGGATCGAACTCACGACTGCCTGCTTGCATAAAATTTTTTAAATTTAGCCCTCTTAAGTTTTTATGTCGAAATGAATTAGGGAGTCTTAAGTCTATTTTCTGAGGGAATTTTCTTAACTTGATTTTTAAAAATTTTTTAAATTTAATACACTAATCAAATTATAACAACAATAAAGAAATACTTTGAAAAATTATCCTTCACTACTGAAGAAAATTAAGTCAAAGTATTCTACATGTGTAGAAGGGAGACAGTTGCTTATGTCTGTAGTTGGACAATTCAAGGAAAACTTGGAAATGCTGAAGCCACTTTCCGCCAAGAAATCAGTGACAATAGGTTGGGACCTGGCTACTTCAAAGGGTAAAACATCTGTATCTACATTGTTTTTTTATTCACAACTTGAGTTGCACTTGTATAGGAGGACCATTGTCTTTCACCTTAAAGGAAAAGAGAAAGTCTTTCCTGTTTGTACCAGTTTAAAATATTTCTGAAATATAACTGCCCAAGGTAAATTACTACGGTACTTATTCACAGGAGAGAGTTTGTACATGGAATAAAAAGAAATGTAGAATTTCACAATCACTTTTTTGGGTTGGTTTGGGTAATTGCATAAAATGAGGGATAAATAAGGGCTGGGGATATAGCTCAGTGGTATGGCAATTTCCCTTTCAAGCATGAGGCCCTGGGTTCAATTCCTAGTACAAACCAAGAAAAAAAAAAGAGGGTTAAATACTCACAAATATGATTTGTATAACCAGATTCCTAGATGCTTCAGAATACAATGAATATAAACATCCCAAAGCATACTGATCACCAGCCTAAGAACAAAGTTACACCTGTGTTAGCTTGGCTTCTCTCATTTCCTCAGTACTCCAAGTTCTTTCTGCTCTACCAAAGTATGGCTGACCTAATGCAGAGAAACTTCAGTAAGGCAAGGTTCTGATAAAATGCCCTCTTAATCTGGGCCATTTTGTTTTTAATTTAAACAGATGAGCTAATCTTGATCAGCCTTAGGAATGGAAGCATTGCTCAGATTAAAATGTCTACAAGACTTCAAATACCTACCTGTTGATGCCTTTAAATCAGATTGACTACAGCTATTCTTAGCAGTTCTGCAGTTTTCCAGAGTGGTCACTCAAATTTTGGTTCTTTTTTACATAGCTGCATTTGGAAATAATCTATATGAGGCATGTTTATTTATTTTGCATTTTTATTTTAAAGATAGTAAAATCAAAACAAAACAAAGCAGAAGAAAGCCAGTCAAAGCACAAAGCAGGATACCAGGAAAACAACAATAGCTACCATAATATATCTTGTTATCTTCACAATAGTTGTCCATTCCATCAGGTATAGCAAAATCAAACCAAAAACAAACAGAATAAAATCAGTCAACACAGAATATTGAATAAAGCAAAACAATCAGAACAAAGCAAAACAGTGAAAATAATATTGGACTTGAAAGTCAAGATAAAAGGAAATCCCCCTTATTTGCTATATTGCATACTGTCATCCTCTCAAGAGATGCTCAGACTGCTGGCTCCAGGCCTGCATAATTAACCAACAATATAAGCATTTAGTTGTTCTATATACCTTAGTTGCTATCAACTCCAGCTGTCTTCAGAACCATCCAGTTGCTGAGGTGATGGGGTGGGGGCTGGATGGTGTTTGATTGGGCTGGCAGGCTCACAGGAGGTGCTGACTTCTCTTTCCCTGGAACGTGCATGGCTTGCAGGAAGACTGGCTAGTTGATTTCTTGGTTGGTCCCCCAAGTCCCAGCATGGCCGATTCTCAGGAGACACCGACTTTTCTCTTCCTGGAGCACTCGTGGCTTGCACAGCTTATTGGGAAGGCTGGCTAGTTGATTTATTGGTTCTATGAGGCATATTTAGAAAAAAAAAGAAACACACCTGAAACTTATATTCTTGCAAATAACCTTTTAGTCTTCTTTGTAAAGATAGTCCCTAGATGGTACCTGTACATCTGCTAATGTTGATTCAACAGAGAAGCTTTAGAGTTGGTACTGACGTATACAACAGTTTGGTCAGATAAAGGTGAACAGTCCCGTTTCAAGGAGCTTCTGGCTCAGACCCCTTACACTTGCATATGTGAACATAGTAGTTGATCAAGTGAACCACACTGTCAAGTTGTTTAGGCTTGAACTTAACACATACAATAGAATCCAATCTGAATTTCCCATCTTGATACTGCAGTCACACATTGTTTGGTCCAGCTGTCATTTTAACAGATATTATTAGTAGGTAGTCTGAATGTGAATTTTTTCTAATCAAGAAAGTGCTTGCTAGTGTGTGTTTTAACTTCTCTATGGCTTCATTAGCAGTCATACTTTCTCAGTATGACTGAATTCACTGAGGGCCTTTGCCAGATGCACCCACTGGCCCTGCACCCCTTCTGTGCAGTGGCTGGAGAACTTGAGGTGCTGCAGTCATGGGAAAAGGGTGGCCATGGCAAAGGAGGTGGCAGGGTCAGAGAAGAGCTCTCATCCTTCCTGGAAATCAACTGGAACTCCACATTGAGTACTTTGTGGGATGTCAGCAATGGTGGCAGAGGGTTTGGGGAGCTACTGGTTTTTTCTCCTCAAGTTCTGGAAGATGGGTGGTAAAGTTCTCCACAGATTTAGTCACTCACAGGTGGCCTACTGCAGGCATCTGGGCTCCTGGCTCTAGAGACCCTGAGACTTTGCGCCTAGGTGCTTAGTGTCCTGGGTGCTGGGGGTGGAGGTTAGAAAGGCTCATGCTAGGCTGTTTGGTAACAGTTACTGTTTGATGAACTTGTCATTAAATCCTCAAAGGATCCATATGATTATCTATAATACAAGTCTTAACAAATTATAATTTTTTTAAAATCAGATTTTATTGGTATATTTTAGATATACATAAGGATTACATTCATCATAGATAATTTATTCCTGTATATCATATACATGATATAACTTGATTCTTTTTTTAATACATTGTTATATACATGATATAACTTGGCTCTTTTTTCCCCATCTCCCTACCTTTCTTTCAACCCTTCTTCTCCCCCCTCACAAAAAGCTTTGTTTCCATTTTTCCTTCTTTTCTCATTTTTTAAAAAGAATTTTATTTAAAGAGAAAAAAACAAAACAAAACAAAACAAAAGGGCAGAAGTAATACAGAATTTCAAAAAAAACAGTAAGAAATCACTAGTTGATAGATTACATATTGTGATCTTTTTTTTTTTGGTCTTTTTCTTTTTTATCGGTACCAGGGATCGAACTCACAACTGCCTGCTTGCAAGGCAGGCGCTTATGCCGCTGAGCTAAATCCCCAGCCCCACATATTGTGATCTTTAGAAGTCGCTGTTCAAGTTACAAAATTAAAGCATACAAAGTACACATTCAAACAGTGAGACTGCAAACAGTTCTGTTCAATGATCCAACAAAAACTTAGTAGTATGGTTATCTGTCTTACACAATTAAACATACATGCAGTTATATTCTTTAGAGCACTTTCTTTTCGTCTCTTTTTTATAATAACAATTACACATTTTAGGTTTTATTATTCCTACAGTTATTACTTTGTTTGAAGAGAATAAAATCAAATGTGACAGAACGAAATGGAGTCAGTTAAAACAAGACTAGACATAGTATATGATGTAAAAACAAAATACAAGGTGATCAACAATGGCTACTATAATGCCTCTTGCTATCTTCAAAAGAATTGCCTTTACCTTAAAGAGGGTAAGATTAAACATAAGAAAACAGAACAAAACAAATCTTAGTCACCTGACCCAGACATGCCACTTCTGCATATATCTGAAGTCAGCATACTGTATATTCATGTTTGTTGTAGCATAGTTCACAATAACCAAGGTATGGAACCAGTGTAGGTACCTACCAACAGATGAATGGATAAAGAAAATGTGAGATTGGGGCTGGGGATTTAGCTCAGTGGCATAAGCACTTGCCTTGCAAGCAGGAGGTCGTGAGTTTGATCCCCGGTAGCGATAAAAAGTAAAATGGCGGGCTGGGGATTTAGCTCAGCGGTGTAAGCGCCTGCCTTGCAAGCAGGCAGTCGTGAGTTCGATCCCCGGTACCGATAAAAAGGAAAAAAGACCAAAAAAAAAAAAAAAAGCAAAATGGATGCAATTAAATCGCCATTTCCTGTGTGGAGTACACCTAAATCATAAGCTAGTTATTGTTTTTTGCAGCTTTTTTTTTTTTTTTTTTTTGTACCAGGGATCGAACTCACAACCTCATGCTTACTAGGAAAGCACTTTAGCCGCTGAGCTAAAATCCCCAGCCCAGTACCTCTGTAATGGTTAAGTGGTATATTTTATTAGAAATTTTTCTATTACTGAGATTCATGATTAGTGCATGAAGAATTCTAGTGCATTTATTAGTTGGCTTCATAGTGCCTATGATTCTTCTGAAATTAATACAGACTATTATATGTGGATATGCTTTTTGATGGTAGAGAGAAAAAGATTCGCTGGCTTTTCACAGATTATCAGAGAGTCCAAAAAGTTTAAAGAATCATTGCTCTATCTTTTGGGAGGATGACAGTATGCAATATAGCAAATACAGGGGATTTCCTTCTATCCTGTATTTGAAGTCCAATATTATTTTCACTGTTTTGATTGGTTTTATTCTGTTTTGTTTTTGGCTTGATTTTGCTATACCTGATGGAATGGACAACTATTGTGAAGATAACAAGATACACTATGGTAGCTATTGTTGTTTTCCTAGTATCCTGCTTTGTGTTTTGTACCAGTTTTGCTGCTTTGTTTTGATTGGCTTTCTGGATTTTACTATCTTTAAAATAAGAAAAAAAAAGAATCATTGCTCTGTGGGTTAAAAAAAGTTAATGTAGATCAACAAAAAGGTTTTTTTTTTTCCTGCTGTTTTATGTATTTGAATAACCATTCTAGAAAAATACACATGAGATTATCACTGATTTTCACCTATTTTGTATTATTTTGCCACTACTTTTAACTGAGAACTTTTTTGTTAAGGTTCAGGAGCAAGTGCATCCAACTCTCTCAGCTCATGAAGAGTCTCTCTATTACATTGAAGAACTGATTTTTCAGCTGCTAAGTAAATTATGCATGGCCCAACCAAGGACTGTTCAAGATGTGGAGGTACATGCTATCTTGTTATTTTAACAAGTCGTCAAATCACTGTACAAATTCATTTTTTATCAGAATCTTTATAATTCTAAATAATTATACAAACTAAAATCACTGAATATGTAGTATATATCGTCAGTTCATTTCTTTTTTTTGGTACCAGGATCAAACTCACGACCTCATGCTTGCCACGCTGAATCTCTGGCCCCGTCAGTTCATTTCTAACAAAATATTAAGGCAGCTCATTGAGAAAGGTTTTCAACAAAAGAAAAAGTACAGGAATGAAAACCTTAAGCCCATCTCACACTACAGATAAAAAGTAATTCAAGAAGGATGATAGCTTTAGACAAATTACAGGGTTTCTAGAATAAAATGCCTGAGAAGATCTTCATGACCTGTAATTAGAAAAAAATTAGAATTCATAACACTGCATTAAAGAATAAAAGTGATGAGAAAATAAATTGTGTTGTCAGACTGTGGGACACATTTGTAATATGTATTACTGACCAAAAGACTTGTATCCAAAATATGTTAAAATCCTCTGCAAATCAGTTAGAAAAAAGACACCTTTCTCCAAATGGATTAATTCTTAAAACTTCATAAAAGAGCTGGAGCTGCACATGGTGTTACGTACCACATGTTGGTGAGAATATGGAGCAGTCAGAGTTTTATGCAGTGCTAGAGATAATATAAATTAGTCTAGCAACTTTGGAAAAATTGTTTGGCAGTTTCTAATAAATTAGTGTTAAAATGGGCTAGGGATTTAGCTCAGCGGCACAAGTGCCTGCCTGGTAGGCACCGCATTATGAGTTCAATCCATGGTACCAAAAATTTTTAAAAAAATATATTGTTAAACATGTATTTAGGAAATGACTTAGCAGTTCTACTCTTAGATTTTAAATCCTGGGGAGTGAAAATACATGTTTACAGAGAGACTTAAAATGAAAGTCCAAGAGGTTTAATTCATCATAGCTGAAAGTTGGAAATAAGTCAAATTTCACTGAAAGATAGCTAGACAAACGTTATAGATTTATAAAATACTAGTCAGTAATAAAACAATGAATTATTAGTATTTGTAGTAACAGCCATAATTCACAGACAACTAGTGCAAAAAAAGATATCTAAAAAACACATTGTTGTACTTTTAATTTCGTGAACTTTAGAAACAGTCAACACAAATGGAGATGAAAGTCAAAATAGCAGTTGCATATGATGGATGAAATATTCTGTATCTTGATTTGGATGTTGGTAATACAAGTGTAAAAATTTTTTAAATTCATTAGCTTATACGCTTAAGATCTATGTGTTTTACTTGTAAATATTACCTCAGTAGATTCATATAAATCCTAGGTAGTTTTACTAATTCTTATATATAAATATGTAAGGTGAATTTTTCAAATACTTGTTTTGCCTCCATTACATGGGAATATTTTTAGATTTTTAGAAATATGCATTAGTATAGCTTTCAAAAAGCACTTTTGTGCTATACTGTTTATAGTATCTTCTCTAGCAACTTTCATTGTAAAGGAAGATCTTAATTTGGAATGATAGAGGTATTAAGATTTTCAAGGACACTTGGAATTAAAAGCTTTTGTTGTCCTATTTTGTGCTACAAGATTTGAATGTTTAATAAATACAATGAGAATATACTTTTCAATAGCTAAGCTTGCTAAAGTCAGAATATAAGTGTAAAAATAGAAAATGTTTCTAACTTGGAGTTTGATTTAGGTATCAGTAGTTCTTATTATTCATGCCAATTATTGGCTATATCTAAAATTAGGAGAACCAAGTTGGTTTGAATTTCTTTTTTTGCCAGCATGTGTATTTCTGTAGCTGTTCTGAACTTCTCCATGTGCATGATTTTCCATGATATCTTTTTTTTTTTTTTTTTTGGTGTTACTCTTTTAAATTGGTTTTTCTCCCCCATTATGGTACTGGGAATTGGGCTGAGGACCTTTACAATGAACTTCATCTCCAGCCCCTCCCTGATTTTTTGGAATTTGTTACAGGGTCTTACTAATTTGTCTAGGCCAAGGTAAAACTTGGGATCGTCCAGCATTGGCTTCTCAGTGCTTTGATTACAGGAATGTACCACTCTGCTAAATTTTTTTATATTTAAGAATTTTTTATATTTGATAATAACTTCTGCTTGGTGAGTAATTTTAGCTCTAGAAACCAAATTTAAAATCACTGATTTCAGGCTAATAATCTGAAATAGTCTATCTCTCTTTTTTTCCAGTTAATCTTTTTTTTTTTTTTGGTACCGGGGATCGAACTCAGCAACCTCATGCTTGCCAAGCAGGTGCTTATGCTGCTGAGCTAAATCCCTGGCCCCACCAGTTAAATCTTTTTTGATGTGTGATACTGGGTATGAAACCCAGGGCCTTGTAAATGCATTCTGCTGTTGAACTACATACATCCTCACTCCCCAGTTACTTAGTTATACTTAAAGCGTTCTTTTTAAACTTTAACTTTCTCTTTACCTATGGAAATTATGTGGAAAAATCTTGATAATCCTGATGATTTAAAAAAAATCCTGAAAATTCATTTGACAGCTGGGGATTTAATTCAGCTGCTTTAATTTACCTGGTAAGCACCTGGTAAGCACAAGGTTGTGAGTTTGATCTCTGATACAAAAACAAAATAAATAAAAAATATTCATTTGGTACAGGAAACAATGTGTTATATCACTGTTTATATATTTGCATAAAAATAATAAAGTTGAATTTTAAATTTGTGAACACTTCTTTTAATTCTGCAATGGTACTGCTATGATCTGAACAGGAACGAGTTCAAAAGACCTTTCCTCATCCAATTGATAAATGGGCTATTGCGGATGCACAATCTGCCATAGAAAAACGAAAGCGAAGAAATCCTCTTTTATTGCCTGTAGACAAAATCCATCCTTCTTTGAAGGTAATAAAACATTCTCTGTAACAAATAATACTTCATACAGGATTGATGTATTTGGATAGTATCAATGTAGCATGGTCTCAGGGTGATATTTGCATGTATATTTATAATATATACTCACATAATAAGTCTGTATGTACAAAGTGAAAATAGGGGTAGCAGAGCACATGCACAGCATGTGAAAGGTCTCAGTTCAACTTTCTTCCCATGCCTTTTTTGTGGTAGCTTCCAAAGACTGTTGCCCTACTTAATCTTAAGACTAGTTCTTTTGTAGTAGGCTGTGATTCTCAGCCTTTTATTGACTGAAAAAAATACATAACATCAAAACTATTGCAAAGCCAGGGGTTTAGCTCAGTGGCATAAGCGCCTGCCTTGCAAGTGTGAGATTATGAGTTCAATCCCCAGTACAAAACAAAACAAAAAACTACAAATTCAGAATGTTTTTAAAATAGTCTGTAATACAGGTATTTTAACGTGTACTAGAAAAATAGGCTAGAGAATATTATTTGGTTTATAGAACATGCTTGCTGTAAATGAATCTGAAGACTCCTTTGTAGCCATTTCTAGCATACCCCTTCCCACTCTCTCCCTTCCAATAGAAACTACTGTAATTAGGAAATCCTGGTTTCACTTCATTTCATTATCTGGGGATTTAATTCAGGGGTGCTCTGCCAATGAATTGCATCTCTAGCCCTTTTTACTTATTTTTTAATATAGAAACAGAGTCTTGCTAAATTCCCCAAGCTGAGCCTTGAACTTGGAACCTTCCCACATCAATCTCCCAAGTACCTGGGGTTACAGGCATGTGCTGCCATGCCTAGCTATACACTGGTCTTAAAGCAAGGTCTTTAAGCAAGGTTCCTGAAGAAAGGAGATATTTGTCAAATGGTTTTAGATAATGTATGACAAGTCTTTAGTGAAGCTCAGCCTAAGATTTCTGTGTTAGAACTCTGAAGAGGCAGATTTGTTAGATTAGGTATCTCTTGAAAAACAAAAATGCTCATAACACTGGGATCCAGAGGTTCATTTTGGTGATACATTTGGTTTCTAGAAAGTTCTTCATAAGCAGGGATGTTACACTGGAGTATTTAACTGTTTGATACTTGACAGTACTGTGTTTTGGAATTCAAGTGTTTATTTTTTTTCCACAGGAAGTTTTGGGGTATAAAGTGGACTACCATGTGTCCCTGTATATTGTGGCTGTACTGGAGTATATCTCAGCAGATATTTTAAAATTGGCTGGTAATTATGTTTTTAATATCCGACATTATGAAATATCTCAGCAGGACATCAAAGTATCGATGTGTGCAGATAAGGTAAGTGTTGAAATGTTTTAAACTTAACTTGAATAATAGTGATTGTATGTCATCTCTGCCTCATGTTTTATTTTGTTTGTGATTTTTTTTTCTTTGTTGTATTTTTGAGACAGGTTCACACTGTGTAGTTCAGGCTGATCTTGGAACTCACTATGTAGCCCAGGTCAGCCTGAACTTCCATTGATTCTCCTGCTTTAGTCTCCCAAGTGCTGGGATTACGGGTGTGACCACCACTCATGGCTCATTCTTTTTTGTATACAATTATATTAGTAAATTTGATGATACCTGATGTTAGAAGACAAAAGAAACCTGGTTTTATAGAGTCATGATAGTTTCAGGTTTTTTTACCACATGACAGGAAAAGGGCTGTTTTCTTCTATCAAAAATCTTACCTACAGGAAAAAATATCCAAGGCCTCAAACCAGTTTAAGAAAAGTACCCTGAATTTTTTATAGGATGAGAGTTCTGCTTTGGTACTTCTAAGTAATTACTTCAAATTAATGTGGAAGAAGAGACTGGTTTCACAGTATGGCTTAGTGTAGTACAGGCAGAGAAAAAAGAATTTAGCATACAAACCTACTCTCTTCTGATGATTTTTTTCTTTACAGATCTGTCTGTATTCCTGGCTGTTAGCCACTTGCAAGAAGAAGTCAAGTCCATTTTCTTCTCTTCTACTTTTCTTCCCTTTCTCCCTTCCTTTTTTTAAAAAAAAATCAATATTTTTGGATCACCTGTTAATGTGCCTACCATTGTCCTGAGAAGAGAGGATACAACATCAAATAAGAGAGTAATCTGTGTTAGAATTTCATTAGCGTGAAATTAAAACAGTCAAGCAAATAATTGCAGCACAGTGTGATTTCAACTATTATGTTGATGAATCCAAAGTGCAGTAAGAACATAATCAGCTCTGGCGTGGAGGGTCAGGAAGACCTCAGAGGGTACTGAAGGTCTCCAGAGCCTGCACATGCCAGTTTTTCTCAGTCATGACTGCACAGTGATTGCTAAAAAGCTTTTAAAGAAACCTGATACCTGCATCTCATCCCCAGAGCCAAGGACTCTGAACCATGACTGCCGTGTTGGTTGGCATGGGACAATCATGCCATCAGTACCTCTGGTGGTTCAGATGGGTGGGAAATTTTTTAATGGCTGATCTAGGATTTTTGGAGCAGATTGTTGCTCAAAAAAGTATGGTCTTTTTTTCCTATTAGGAATGCCTCTGTGCATATATATTTATATATATATATATTACACACATGTATACATACAGATGAATATATACGTATGTACATACATAATACGTGTGTGTGTCTCATTTGGCTTTTCTTTTTCCAGTAATATTTATTTTGTTACATTGAATTTTAGTATTTCTTACCTTCATTTTTCATTTTTCTCTTTTGAGTTGTTTAATATTAAACAAGTTGTTTAATATTCATTTGCCTGTAATGCATGGAATTCTCATTGTTTCATGTTTTAATTTCAAATATTTCAAGACAATTTTATAAAAGTAAGGAAGGTAATATTTTACATCCTTTATTTACATTTCTCAGGTTTTGATGGACATGTTTGATCAGGATGATGATATAGGTTTGGTTTCTCTATGTGAAGATGAACCTAGTTCCTCCGGTGAATTAAACTATTACGACCTTGTCAGAACTGAAATTGCAGAAGAAAGACAGTATCTTCGGGAACTGAACATGATCATAAAAGTGTTTCGAGAAGCCTTTATTTTTGACAGAAAGTTATTTAAACCTTCTGTAAGTACCTTTTTGGGTTTGAAATTCTGTGTATCTCCAAAAAAAACCCAGCAGCTTAAAGTCATAAATAGTAATACTGTTTACTTTATTCGTATATTTTTTATGTATTTGTGGGTTTTTAAAATGTGTAAATTGTTATACTAATTTAAAAAATGCAGTGATAATGAAAATTTGACTTGGTATTCAAGTAGGGGCTTTGTACTTCTATGTAATCTTTTGCTCCTTTGTGATGTCTGAAGTTTAGTCAGATTTAATGAGGTTTAGTCATTCATTTGGAAGTGGTGAAAAAGATATATAATCTAGAAAAGAAAGAGCTATGCTTTTCCTGTCTTTTTGTAAGTAAGATAAGAGAATTTAAAAAATAAAACTTCATGGAGAACACCAAATAGAGAAAAGTAGAGCTCCACTGTTTGAAGTCTGAGGGAGGAGGATAAGCAGAGCAAGGTGGAGACTCAGCCTGTTTCCCTCCTCTTACTTTGGTAGGACCCTGCCCCTCTTTTTTTTTTTTTTTTAAATTTTGAGGCAGAGTTTTGCTAAATGTAAATTGCCTGTGCTGGTCTCAAATTTGTGATCCTTCTGCCTCAGCCTCCCAGAGCAAGAACTGGTATTACATGCATGTGCTACCATACCTGGCTCCTCCTCTGTAACTTCTAAAATCACTTTTTTTTTTTTGGTACTGGGAATTGAACTCACTCTAAAATCACTCGTAAGTGACAAATGTTGACTTAAAAATGGTTTTTCTTCTTATGTCATGTGATTTATGTATCTGTGTGTTTGGTTTACATTTTTAAAATACTCATAGTGGTAGTGGCTCATGTCTGTAATCTCAGCACTTGGGAGGCTGAGGCAGGAGAATCACTGCTCTGAGTTTTAGGCCAGCCTGGGCTACAGAGTAAGTTCAAGGCCATCCTGAACTGCATAGTAAAACTGTGTCTCAAAAAGACCAATAAATAAATAAATAAATACTCAGTTTATCTTATACTTCTAATTTCTTCCCCAGAATATCTATCCCATGAATAAATAGTAATATTCAGACACAGCTGGCTGAGTGCTTCTGCTTAAGAATGGATTTAGCTTTTCTCATTCTTTTCTGAAAGAATGAATTAAAATGATTTTTAAGGTGTTATAATTGTCCTTTACCTTTTTTTCTTTTATATATATGCTTACTTAACAGTGTTGGTAACCTCTACCTGATATACTGCCTGAAGTATCCAGGATAGTGCTGTACTATTTTATTTGACTGTGTAACAATGTCATAACATACATTGGTCCGATATTAAGGTTTCTTCCTATGAAAATTGACATAAAATGGTTATAATTTAATTAGTTACAGAGATCAAAGTTGAACCCTTGGGCCCAAGGGAACTCTTGCCTCAGCTTTCTGAGGAGCTGAGGTTACAGGTGTGTGCCACACATTGTAACAGTCATTATATGGTGATTTGAGAAAAAAAGCCTAAAAGATGGTATTTGCTCATGTTACCTTCTTTGCCTACTATGTCCCATCAATTTTCATTTCTGAAGAATTAATTTATATGTGTTTCTTTTTAAGGGAAGTTTCTTCGTATTGTTGTTCTTTTTTTTTTTAGACAAGAGTCTCACTGTGCAGTTCAGGCTGGCCTTGAGCTCACTTTGGGTAGCCCAGGCTGGTCTCAAACTCACAGTGATCCTCCTACCTCCACCTCCTGAGTGCTGGGATTGCAGGCATGTTCCACTACACCTGGTCTGTTGCAGCTTTGATAGAGTTGTAATACTGTAAAGGTCAAAAGAAAGAATCTCATCCGTCTATATGAGCATAGATTATACTGTATACTTTTGAGCTAAAGACTATGTAAATCAGAGTGTAGTACTTTGCAAATACTGGAAAGAGAGATGAATGACTTAAAATTGATCTTAATTTGCTGCTGGAACCTTCTGGCCTATTTTCAAAAGTTCACATTTGTGGAGGGCCTAATATGTACAAGGAGTGCTGTGTAGAAATCAGCTCATTTCATCCTCAACCTGAGAGATATGTAACCATGGGAAAATTGTTTAACTCCTCAGTACTTCTGCTTTCATCATTTGTGAAATTAAGACTGTTAGGAAGTGTCACATTCAGGGCCTAGAGAGTGATTGGAACATAAGTACCCAGGGGTAATAGTTTTGATTACCGTCCTGATCCATGAACCCTCATCTAGCATGTTGTTAAAGGAAAAACAAACTGTCCTCTAATCTCACTTACAATCAGAAGACTTTAGGACTAGATGTGTGAGGTTTTCCTGGCATGCACCAGTAGTTTTTCATTGTGCATCACGTGTCAGCTCTGACACTGTATGGAAACAGTGTCAGATCCTATAGGTAAAGACTCAGTCCTGGGCTGACTGCCCTGTACTTCAGCTCCTGACTGAAAGTCTGAGATTATGACTTCTAACTAATTGAGCTTCCTGTGGTGCCTCCCTGGTTCGATTGGTTTGCTGGGACAGCTTACAGAACTCAGGGAAATACTAATCTTTACTAACATTGCATGTAAAGGCCATTACAGAGGATACACATGAGCAGCAGATGACATGGGTAAGGCTAGGTAAGGAATGTGCAACTTCCACAACTCCTCCAGAAAGTCTCCCTTTTCTGCACCTCATGTGTTTAGTTGCTGGAAAGCTCATCAAATTTCTTTTCTTTTCTTTTCTTTTCTTTTCTTTTCTTTTCTTTTCTTTTCTTTTCTTTTCTTTCTTTCTTTCTTTCTTTCTTTCTTTCTTTCTTTCTTCCTTCCTTCCTTCCTTCCTTCCTTTCTTCCTTCCTCTCTCTCTCTTTCTCTCTCTCTTTCTTCTCTCTCTCTCTTTCTTTCCTTTCTCTTTTTCTTTTTTGGGACAGGGGCTCGCTATGCTGTTTAGGCTGACCTTGAACTCACTTTGTTTAGGCTGACCTTGAACTCACAGGCTTGTTTCAAACTCGCAAGTATCCTGCCTCAGCCTTCAGAGTTCTGGGGTTACAGGCATGCACCCACCTTACCTGGCTTCATCAAGTTTTCTTGTTCAAGAGTTTGGCTTTTTGAGGGGTGGGTTTGGCGTGTTTTTGGTTTTGGTGTTTTTGGTAGAGCTTTATTTCTGTCCATACCTCTCTTTGTCTCATAGAGGTCACTGACTGGAGTTGAAAGATCATCCCTTCAAGCTTGTAATTATTTGTTCTTTCTGGTGACTGACTCCATCTTGGTGCTAAGAGATTCATTTTACCTCATTAGCATGAACTCAGAAATTATCAAAGGGACTCTATGAATAACAGAAGACATTGCTATTAGAAAATTTCCAGTGTTTTAGGAGCTGTACTGTAGGAATCAGCACAGAGACCAGACATTTCCTGTATTACACATTGTAGAGCCAGTATTACAGCTCAGGTCTGTCATGTTTTAGAGTTTATATTTCCAGTACAAGATGCCAGGGTAAGTGGTAGTTGACTCTATCCTGGATAGTCAGTCATTATGATCTGTTTGTCTAGAGGGCTCAAACCTGTCTTAACAGATGTATAATTCACACATGGGCATTTGAACAAAATCTTTAATTCCTTCTTAAATCCAAAAGTCACAAATCATAGAACCATATTGTAACAATTAGGAGTTTTGTTCCAGTCCCAGCTCGTGTTATGAATTAAATCTCTGTGACCCTAATCATGTCTCTTATTATCTTAGCCAGTTTTTGAAATATATGATTGCCTAAATTGTTTATTTAAAAAAATTGCTTGGGACTGGACATGGTGGCATACACCTGTAATGCCAGCACTTTGATTTAGAGGTAGGACAATAGGGAGTTCAGATCTGCCTAGGCTACATACTTAGAGCCTGTCTCAAAAACAAAACAAAAAATTGCTTAGAATCATTCACAATGTGAAGTTTTATAATTTTGGAACAAAACCTTCTAGAATGTATTTTCAGTATTCACTGTGTATTGAAAAACATTAGTACAAATTGGTGACTGTATATCTTTAACACCTGTATTCCATTTATATTTAGTAAATTTTAAGCATAATTTTAATCTTCACATTGTCTCAACTTTTCTTTTTCTTTTTTCAGGATATTGAAAAGATTTTTAGTAACATTTTAGACATACATGAATTGACTGTGAAACTTTTAGGTTTGATTGAAGACACAGTTGAAATGACAGATGAAAGCAGCCCTCATCCCTTAGCTGGCAGCTGTTTTGAGGATTTGGCAGAAGTAAGTTTATAAAACTAAGCTGTCATGAAAATTTTCAGTGCTATATTAAGTTCAATAAGGTATTTGTTGTAAAAAACATTCGAAGGTAATGCTTGTTGCTGGCTACTGTAAAACACTTGATCAACCAATAGCAAACAACTACATTGTCCATATTTTGAGTTGCTTTATACTTTATATATAGAACATTTATAGTAATTTTCAAAGTGCAAATTTATATATTAGAATAATAACTTTCAATGTTTTTATGATAAAGGTGAAGGAAAATAAAATTTTATTAATTTTATTGACTATAGTTTTATTATCTGTATTTTAGACTTAATTTTCATAAATAAGATTTTATATTAATTTTTTGCCCAGTGAAAATAGCTTTCTTTTAAATGATTATAAAAGTAATGTCTTATTTTAAATACTCAATAAAACCTAGAGACAAGTACTATATATAAGTTAAAAATCATTATTTTGAAATTCCCAGGAATAATTTATAACATTATTTATCATTACAAATATTTTTCTGTGCAGCATACAAACCTGTGTGTATTTATGAGAGTACAGTTCTACTTTATATCTTTTTCACTATATCAGGACAATTGTCCATATTAATAATATAATTTAACATGATTTTTCTCTGTTACACTGAGACACCATAACAATCCTAAGCTTGTGAGATTTTTCTTCAGTGTTACAAACAAAACTGTAACAAACACATTGGTACTATGTTTTCATAACTGGTAATTTTTTGGTGTGTATTCCTTCAGTACTACAGAAACTGTAGTACTAAAGAGTAGCTTTGCTTTTAGAACTCTGAAACCTTTTGCCAATTTTCATGTAAGTCTCAGTGTATTCAAATCTTCTCCCTCTAGTCCCATATCTTCACTAACCTTTGCTAACTCTGGGTATAATCTAACCCATTCATTTTGCCAGTTTAATATGAAAAAAATCTCATTATTCTTTAATTTAGCTTTTTAGAAAAGTTTATGTAGAGCACTTTTTCATACCAATTGGCCATTCTTTCTTTTGGAAAACAATGCTTGAAGAGTGCAGTCTTTAGATATCATGTTAAAAACTACCAAATTTTATGATCCCTTTAAATGTTTTCTGAAAACATAAACGGTGTATTATTTCCATTATATAGGAAAAAGAAACAATTAAAACTATTCCGTTACTGATGCCCAATCAAATAGTCACTCTTTGTTCTTAGAATGTTTTTGTATTGTGACATCATAATAATTGGTAACCTCTTATTAATTTGCTGTACTACTAAAATACTGTATTATTTTTATTTTGATTACATATGGAACATAAAATTTTGTTCACTTTAAACTTTTTTGTTTTTATTTTTTTTGAGACAGAGTCTTGCTGTTTAGTTTAGACTGGCCTTGTGCTCACTTATTTAGCCCAGGCTGGCCTTAAACTCAAGGAGATCTTCCTGCCTCAGCCTCCTGATTGCTGAGATTATAGGCATGTGCCACTATCTCTAGCCACTCATTTTAAGCATTTTTAAGTGCAGTTCAGTTGATGTTAACTAAATTCATAATATTGTACAACCCTTACCACTGTCTAGCTCTAAAATTTCATCATCTTAAACAGAAACTACCCAGTGACCAATAATTCTGATCCTCCTTTCTTCAATTCTTGGTAACTTGTAATCTGCTTTCTATGTCTGTGAATTTGCCTACATTAGATATTTCATATTAGTAAAGTTAAATATCATTTGTGGTTTTGTGTCTTGTTTCATTAAGATAATGTTTTAAATTTCATCTCTGTGTGTTAAAATGTCATTTCTTCCTATGACTTCCCATTTCACTTAATGTACAGGTAGAACAACCCTAACCCTAAGTTTATTCCAAAACTTTTTGATCACTGGGTGATGTTTAAAAAGTTTTGGGGGCCAGAGATATAGCTCAGTAGTACAGTGCCTACCTAAGGAAAAAAATGGATTTTGGATTTTAGAGCACTATGAAGTAACACTCAAGTGAGGTTTACATTTTAGGGCATTTTGTAGTTTGAATTTTTAGATTAAGGATGGTCAACCGTAAAGTCTGTAAATGTTCCAGTACCTGAAAAACTCTAAAATCTGAAACACTTCTGAGTCCCAGGCATTTCCAATAATTGCTTATTAATGTATTACTCATTTTTTATATCCATTCATTTGCTGATAGACACTTGAATCATCTCCACCTTAAGCTATTCTGAATAATGTTGCAGTATTTTCTGTTTGGGGTATAGAATTAGGAGCAGAATTACTGGGTCATTGTGGGAGTTCTGTGTTTTGTTTTTTGAGGAATTGCTAAAGTTTTCTATGGGGGCGTTACACCATCTTCACACTAGAACAGAGGTTCTAATTTCTCCATGTGTTTGCCAGTACTTTTTTTTTTCTGTGAAAATGACATTGCTTTTGTGTCTTACGGTATGCAAATGATACATCTCTTAGGTCTGACTAAATATTGAGATTATTGGTTATTGGAGCGTAGGCATTTATTTAAATATAAACTTGGGACAAACTGTGGGCAATTTCTCCTTATTTTGCTGTTTGTTGCCTTGGCTCTTTTTTTTCCTGGCTTTGGAAGACATAGAATAGATAAGACAGCTAATAATTTTGCTTCCTTTTAAAGTATCCCAATTGTAAACTGATTTCAATGTAAGTAAGCACCTGCATTTCCAGCCTTATTTTACAAAATGTGCTTCTCATTTACTGGAGATAAAACGTGTATTTTAGTAGTTTGATACTTGTGACCACAACAATAATCCTGTTGTAAGCCTTGTAGCCTCTTGTTATCTATTGGTCAAGGTCAGTACACTAAAAAAAAAAAAATCTGTTAGTTGCAGACATAGTTATTGTTTGACCCTGAAAAGTAGAGAACCAAAAATGAAGAAACCTAGTCAAGGACTTGAACAAGATTTTGCCATTGAATGATCTGTACTATTTTAGTATAAAAGGTGTTCTTTCAGACCTGACACATTTTCATTTTCTAAAATATAGGAGCAAGCATTTGATCCCTATGAAACATTAGCACAGGACATTCTTTCACCAGCGTATAATGAACATTTCAGTAAGCTGATGGCCAGACCTGCAGTTGCTCTACACTTTCAGGTAAATGTAAATCACATGTTCTTATTCTTTATAAAACAAGAGAAATATTTTACTGTCTTCTCCTGCAAATATTTGTAATTCTAGAATCCTTTTATAAAGCAATGAAAAAGATACTCTAAGAGTCTTCCCAACCTTGTTTACTCCAGACCTATTTTAGATTGACTTTTAGATTTTGCCAAGTTACTTCAATCTGTTCTTTTTTTTTTTTTTTTTTTTGGTTAGAAATAATATTATCTCCTCCTCCATGTACAGGTTACGTCTCAGAAACACGAAGACATTATGCATGTTATCAATTACAGTTTATAGAAAATAACTCATATCCTGTCAGCAATATATTTCTGTCATTTTAAAAACTGCCATTTTATTTTTCCATGTTAGTTCAAGAGTCAGTCTGTTCTTAATGGAGAAGTTTTTTGTTTTTTACATTCTTTTTGGTACTAGGTATTAAACTTAGAATCTTAGCACTGAGCTACATCCCTAGTCCTTTTTATCTTTTTTTTTTTTTTTTGTATCAGGAATTGAACTCAGGACCTTGCGCTTGCCAGGCAGGCACTTAAGAGCTATATCCCTGGTCCCTTCCTACCTAGTGCTTTTTAATTTTTTAAAATTTTAAGAGAAGTCTCACTGAGTTGCTAAATTGTCTAGGCTGGGTTTGCACTTAATGATTCCCTTTCCTCAGCTTCTCAAGAGTGCTGGTATTACAGGTGTGTGCCACCATGCCCAGCCCATAGAAATTCTGAATGACCAGAAGCTTCTGGCATATTCTAGATCAGAGATAGACAATTGAATCCGGAAAGGTGTCATGTTCCCTCCAGAGGAAATATTTGGAAAAATCATAAAGAGAAGCGCATCATGCACAGTCATACTGATTTCTCTGTCAGATAAATAGTATATTGAGGTGGGTTTTATCGTTTGAGGAATGTAGTTAGATAAAATGAAAATTAGTTGATGAAGCAATAAAAATTATATTTTTACTCTGTCAATACAAGAAAACAATTGTTATTAACATTTAAGTTTATAGTGGCACAGGTGGTACTTGACTGTTAGAGCATCTAATCTAACTCTTTCGCAGATGTATAAGGTTGAATCTGTATTTAAGAAAATAAGTAAAGCTGTTAATGCTAGTTACTCTACATAATAATATTTTCACTTTACAGTGAGTTACCTTAGTATTTTTTCCTATTTTTCAAAATACTGTCATCTGTATTCTAATGAAGGTGTAACCGTTAAGAACTGCTTTTGATAATTGACTTGTCAAGTCCAGGGGATATTTTAATTTCATATTTATGTCTGTAATATTTGTTAGTTCTCTTGTCCCTTGGGCCCCATGATATTCTGGTTTTTTTGCCTTTCTTTGAGTATTGAGAATTAAACCCAGAGGCCTTGTACTGAGGTGCAACCTCATCTGCAGCTCTTTGTTAATTTTTTATTTTGAGACAGGGTCTCTCTAAATTGCCATGTTGCTGTACTTAGCTGAACTGGGCCTGGGTTTGCAGTCTTACTGCCTCAGCCTCCCATAGTGCAGAGCTTGTGTGTGCCCCTCACTGCCACACCTGGCCTCTGTGATACTCTTTTTCTTTGTTTTTGTTTTCTCTGGCTTTTTTTCTTTCTCACCTTCTTAATTATAGGTGTTATCAAACCTAGTGTTACCTGTGATCAGCCACTACTTTTTTGTCCTTCAGTGCTCTCTTTGAGTGACTTCATCCATATCAATTATGCTGGTCATTTCCTATGTTCCTAAGCCAAAACTCTTCAAGAGAGTGTGGATCTGTATGTACACTTTCATAAAACTGGCTGCCTTGAACTGATTTGGATTAATATCCTTGTAGGCATTCTTATATTCCATAGATACGTTTAAAGCTGAACTTGCCATTTTCTGCCTGCTTATTTTATTGTGAATTCCTTTTATTATTGTCTACTAGTATACTCTAAAAAATCTGTCAATATAAAATAAAAATGATACCTAATTCTCAAAATTTACTTCGAAGAAGAAATTTTCAAAAAATCTTGAGCCAGTTGTGATGGTGTAAACTATAATCCTAGTGCTCTGTGAGGCTGAGGCAGAAGGATTGCAAATTCAGGTCCAGATCTGACAACTTAGCAACTTAGTAAGACCCTATCTCAAAATTTATAAAACATCTGGGGGTGTACTCAGTGAAAAAAGCCCAGCATACAATCCCCAGTCTCCCTTCCCCCCACAAGTAAATTAAATCTTACATAGTCATAAAACCATAAATACTAAACAGATTATGTACTTAAGAGAACTTTACATAATAATTAAAAATACAACATTATTTCTTGTTTCATTGTTATTTTTATTAGAGATTCTTGCTGTAGTATTTGAACGTTTAGGACCTGATGTTTTAAATTATTGCTGAAGATACTCAATAAAATTTAAAAAGTTATATAAAAGCCTTTTCAGGCAAGCTAATTTGTACTGTATTAATTTTTTAAAAAATCCATTCAGGTTAAGGTGAAGCAGTGCTACATTAAAAAAAAAAAAAAAAAAAAAAAAAAAACAAAACAACCTTTAGGGCTGGAGATGTAGCTTAGTGGTAAAACCCTGGCTTAGTATCTATGGGCCTTGGGTTCAATTCTCAGTGCTACATGCATGCATGCAAAATACATAAATAAATAAAATTTTAAAAATCATTAAAAGCTGTATAGTACATCTTAAGGAAATGAGCTTAAATATGGGCTTTGGGCCAGGTAATAATTGAGCCACATGTCTGTGCTCTCAGTTTTCTTGTGTATACCTCTTATAGTTATTATGAAAATTAAATGATAATATATATGAAGAACACTTGACAGATACTAAGCCTGCCATAAACATTAGCTCATGTTATTATCAGATGAGTCCGTACACTGTAAATACTCATTGCAAAAGTTTTAGCGTGCTCCTTGGTAGCCATGTCAGTGCAAGTTAAACAGATGGTCTTTGTAGACTAATTTTAAGGTTTTATATTGATTACTATGAAAGGGCTAAATATAAAATATACAATAATTCAAATTACTGTAGTAATAGTTTAATGCTGACTTAGTCCATTTGTGCTACTGTAACAGAATACCATACTCTTGGCTTATAATAAGAGAAATTTATTTTTCACAGTTTTGGAGGCTGTACATCCACAATAAGGTGTTAGCAGATTCAGTATCTGAAAAAGGGCTGCCCTTCTGATTCATAAGTGGTCCTTTTTCACTGTGTCCTCACATGGTAAAGGGGGCAAAGAAACTCACCTTGGGCCCCTCTGTAAGGCTTGAGTGCTCTCCTGTCCTAGTCACCTCCTGAACGCTCTACATCTTAAATCTATTATCTCAGAAATTCAGCTTTAGCACACGAATGCTGAAGGAAAACAGATCCTAGCAAAATGAAATTAATCTTTCGGAAGTAGTTGGTTCTTTCTTATGCACGTGTGTGTGTGCAGACACACAGACACACACACCCCTAGGAAGTAGTTGGCTTTATTTATATGTATGTATTATACCAGGGTTCACACTCACTACCTTGTGCTTGCCAGGCAGGCACTTTTGCTACTGAGTTAAATCCCCGACAAGTTGGTTTTTTCTTACACATACACACCCCCTCCCTACCTTTTGGTGATGTGAGAGATCAAGCCCAAAACCCTCTTCAATACTACACACAACTTATTTTGCATTTCTTGATAACCAGTCAGGCTACCAGATAACAAATTTGTTGGACAAATTATAATTTAACTTCTCTTAATGAAACATGACAATGATGAGCATGTTTATGAGAATATCTTTAAAAAGAAGCACATTAAATTATTTCTCACTTCAAGTAGTGGTCCTGTCAGTATTTGTCTTATGGGGAGAAATCCCAGTAACATTTAAAATCAGCACAAGTGATTTTTAAGTCCATATAATTTTTATAAAATCATTTATTCTATAGAGTATTTTTTTTTAAACTAAAATGTTTCAAGCTGCGCACCAAGATTTTTCAAGCATTAAGGAAATCCATTTATAGTCTGCCTGAGACTTTGCATATTTCACGTTTTCTTTTTCCAGCTTCTCTTGTACTTTACTGTCTGCTGTATTGAATTTTTTATTATGTATTGATCCAAGATGTAGAAATCTCCAAGGCACCAGCTAGGAGGGAAAAAAAGTACTGTTCTGAGAATTCATTCAGCATAAAGTCAGAGTTCCAAAAGAAGAGTTTGGGTGATTATATTAAAAATTCTTGGTAATGCAATGTTATCTCTATATTTTATTATGTTTGTGTAAGAATTAAGAAGTGAGATATTTATCACAATGATGTGTTAACTTTTTTAAAAAAGGATGCTTCATCATTTAATTGGAGTACAGGGAGGCTAGTATGCCCTACCAGAATGCACTATATTAGAAGCATTTAAAGTTCTTTCAGATGATTCAACTCCTTAGCTAATGATACTAATATCCTTACTTGAATTTAAGGGTAAAGTCTGGCTTTCTTAACCAATTAAGTTTCATCTGACTGTTTATTGTCAGTGAAGATTGGCATATCAGGTATGTGCCAAACATTTTTAATCAAGTGAGCTAAATTTATTCAGTCATTATTTGGTTAGGTATATTTAAGTTACTTCTACAGTGTACAACATACTGCAAAATATACCCTTCAAAACTACTTATTTAAAACATGAAAATGTGTGAGAAAGTATATAGTTTTCAGAATTCCTTAGGGTAAATGGAAGCTTGTATGTTTGAAGAAAAACTATAAAAAACTATTCTTAAACTTATTTTTAAAGTTTATTTTATTATGCGTTTTGTGAATATATTCATATGTGTGTATAATTTAAGGTAGAAAAGACAGGGAATAACTTGACTTATACCACTTAAATTTCACACTAGGTTGTACTTTGCATTTATAATTTTGAGAAATGTGTATCTTGTGTTTTTTAAAAGCAGTTTCTGTTTGGCACTGCTATTGTGTAACCTTGATATAAGAAATACATTGTTATCTTTTTGCTTTGCAGTCCATTGCTGAAGGCTTTAAAGAGGCAGTTCGCTATGTACTTCCACGCCTTATGTTGGTGCCAGTATATCATTGTTGGCATTATTTTGAATTATTAAAGGTAAGGCAGAATGTTCATGGGCCCAAAATAGCTGCATTTATGAAGACTGTGACTAGTTATTAACCTGATCATATTATTTAATACTTTTTAATAGTAAAAATAAAATATCTTAACCGTATCAATCTCCAGTACCAAAACTGTGTGTGTGTGTGTGTGTGTGTGTGTGTGTGTGTGTGTGTTAAAATTTCTATCTTCTTTTCAGAGATCTTAGAGAAAATCCCATGTATCTTAGTTATTGTCAGATAGTTTCAGTGTGGTAGACAGAGGAAAATTCAGCTTTATCTGTCACTTTCATAATATAAAATCTTGGATTACTGAACTGAGAAAAAAGACTTTACTTTTTAAAATTAATGTTTGAAAACAGAGTATCAGTCTCCTAACTTTTTTTTCTTGTCTTTTTGAGATAAGGTTTCACTGTGCAGTTCAGGCTGGCCTAGAACCCATTTTGTAACCTAGGCTGGCCTCAGATTTGCAGTGATATTCCTGCCTCCACCTCTCTAGTGCTGAGATTACAGGTGTGCACCACCACACCCAGCCTCAACTTTCGTTTCATTATGTTATGTATAATATGGCTCTATATTTTTATCTTGTTTTAACTTATTGAGAAACTCATTTTTGAAATTGTCACACTTTGCCATGTGGTGTTATATTCTTTCTCTCACTTTTAGGACCAAGCAGAACATTGGGGGATGTTATATGAGTATACAAATACATGTACATGCACATAACTTTCTCTCTCTCTCGCATGCACACACATACATTTATAACTTTTAAGAACATGTCTTTGAGTTACTTTGGGTTATTTTGAGTTAAGATCAATCACTAGTCTTAATCACTTTGATTAGGAAGACTTAGCTAATTAATTTATGTAGTGATTAATTGATGGCAGAAATACTAGCTGTGTCCTTACATAGTCAGTGTTTTAATCTTGGATATAGACATAGCAGTGGTTAACCTTGCAGTCATTCATACAGGGAAAAAGTATAGTTGAGTCAGGATTGTAAACGTTCACAAACATAAAAAGGAACTATAAAAATAATGGTAGGATTTCTTAAAAAAATATACACGTTGTTTTAGAAATCTAAGCATCTGGAGTTGCTTATGTATTTATATGAAGTTTGCAGTCCTTTTATGAGTTCTGTATGGGTCGGTTTTTCTTCTTCCAGTTATATGTAGAAGTATTTTGGCTTTTATGTTAGTATTTTTATTTTTTTTAATTTTATTTTTTATTTTTATTTTTTTTTTATCGGTACCAGGGATCGAACTCATGGCTGCCTGCTTGCAAGGCAGGCTCTTATGCCGCAGAGCTAAATCCCCTATGTTAGTATTTTTACATAGTATTATATTACTGGTAATAATGTTAATATTATAACCAATGAAATAGATGGAACAACTCTTAAAGGCTGTCTGAACCAACAGTTTAATTCTGCTTTGCTTTTAAAGAACAGTAAATAAGTTGGGAAAGAAAATTCTACTAAGCAAGATATATTGGAATTGGACTTGAAAAGGGAATACTCTGAAAGTAGGCACAAGTGCTTACATTTTAGCTGCAGTCAGTGAGTATCAGTGGCAGTGACACAGGGAAATGAGAATAGGTGGTTGCCAAAAAATCCTCACCTCTCCTGTGATTACTTTAGTGATAACTCTTACCTTTTAAACATACATAAGGCAAAAACCTGGGTCTAGTGGCAGCACTTACTTTCTTGTTACTAGCTAATTTAATACTTTAGAGAATGAATAAAAAAGAGAAACCACCATGTCTGATCAGTGAAATTGTGATCCTTGAAGTAAATATGGAATAGCTTTTGTTTTAATTTGTGTACAGCAACAATTAGAGCAAATAGAAATTTGTAATGGAAAGATAAACCAAGATAAGTTACATAAAATGACAAAAGATTTTAGTAATACCACAGAAGAGGTTATCCAAAAAGTATGTGAATGTGTATTCAAATTCATTAGTAATCAGAAAAACACAAATTAAAACCACAAGATATCATTACAGACAACAAAGTAACAAAAAGTGAAAATACCATGCCACCCCACCCCTCTGAACCAGCAGAAGCCCTGCTGGGGGTGGGGGTGGTGGTAGTGGAGACTAACGGATGGACAGACTAGGGTGAAACCATCTCTCTCACCTTCTGCACCGTTGTGAGCCAGCCTGTGAGCAGGCCAGGAGAGAAAAACAACCCCCACCCCCATACGACCAAGCAACAGCTGCTTCAGAGGAACAGACAGAGATGATAGAAAGCTTGTATTGTTTGATTGACTTTGCAAGCTTAAAAAGCCAGTAGTCTGATCAACTATTTACCGGATGACAATATGCAATATAGTAACTATGTTGGATTCCCTGCTGTCTTGTTTTTGAAATCCAATATCAGGTTCTCTTTTGTTTTATTCCCTTTAAAATAAAATTAAACATAAAAAGCAACATGAACTCTGTCATTCTTCTAATAGTAAAAGTTATAAGATTGATTTTGGAAATGCTTGGTGTTACATGTTAAATTTGGAGATACTCCACCCCTCAGTGTAGAGAAATTAAATGCAGACATGTATACCAAGAAACATGCACAGGAATGTTCATAACAGCAAGTATAGCCAATAATAGCAAAATATTATCAACCAAAAAAGGATAAATAGTGGCTTATTAAGAACAATGGAAGAAAACTAAGTAAACTTCACAACATCTATGAAGCGTACAAATGTGACTTTGAGAGATGATAATATTGTACTACTTTGTATGCTATGTTTTGTTTATCCAGTCATCTCTTGGACACTTGGGTTCCTTTGGTTTGACTGTCATGAATATCTCATGAATTAATGATGTCCAGCATTTTTTCATGTGCTTATTAGCCATTTGTATGTGTTCTTTGAAAAAGTATCTATTTAAGTCCTTTGCCTATTTAAAAGTGGTTTTTGTTGTATGTTTAAAAGTGGTGGTAGTACTTTAGATATTCTGGATATGTGTTTCATCAAATACATGATTTGTAAAATTTTGTCTTCCTGTGGAATCATTTTTGTGATATTATTGTTTTGGCTCAGCACTCATCCAAAATAAGTTTCATTTCATGTTAAGGTTGCTTTAGCATGAGAGACAAAAGAAAGATGGGCTGGGCCAGTATGACCTAAGTCTTTTCTCTCTTGGAATAGAAAACACAATTATGGAGCAGTTTTAAGGTTCTATGTCAGTGATACATCAAGAACCCACTGTTTTAAAGTCTCTATGTCAGTGATTTACCAAGAAAAGATCTTTTTACATACTTAGCATTTAAATATTATTTCAGCTTTATTTCCCCAAATCAGAGTCATGATAAAGCAAGATGGGAAAACCAGCTACAGAGTGAAAAATTACATAATGCCATAGGCAATTTGCCTAAAATTAAGAACCTTGTAGGATTACTGTCATATATTTTTAAAATTTTATTTTATTTTATGTACTGGGGATTGAACTCACAGCCTAGTGCTTGCCAGGCAGGTGCTTATGCCACTGAGCTAAATCCCCGGCCCCAATTTTTTAAAGTTAATTTTATAATACTTTTCTTTTTGTTCTAAGTTCAAAGTGTGGGTTGATAACAAGCCACACTTTACATTTTTTCCTTAGACAGACTTTGGAGAAAACTTCCACAAATTACTTTTCTATTTTTATTTTTATTAGTAAAAGTTTTTAGTACATAATGATTACATTCATTGTGGGAAATTGGTACGTGTATATAACATATCTCAATTCTTGTTTTCCACCCCCTTTTGCTTCTCTTTTTTTGAAGATAAATTTCAGATTTTTTCCGTCTTTATGCAACAGGAAAAAAAATTTACCTCCCAATTTATAAATAACATAATATGATTTTTATATTCAGAGAAAAAAGTCTGTGTCCTTTACTACTAAGCACATATTTACTTTCTCAAAGTCAAGCAACTTTCTTCTACTCTGCTAACCCCATGGACATTTCCTGAAAATTTAGCTAATGGACAGAATAGAAAGTTTCTTTTCTCAAGAAGTTTTAGTTTTGCTTAAAGCTCATTATAAAGACATTAACTTGAATAAAATTAATTGGAAGATAAGCCAGTAGTGGCTCAATATGAAACAGTATGAACTTGAGTTTCTTTAGATGGTACTTTTTTACCTTTTACTTTGAATACCAGAAAAGTTACAGAAATAGTATAGTGAACTCCTTTTACATAGATTCACCATTGTTAACATTGAAGATTTGCTTTGTCCTTTTGTGTGTGTATATATGTATATCTTTAATTACATTTTTAACATCAGAACTTGAGATGTTATTGAAAGAAATGTTCTGATCCTTGAAAAAGACTGTATAAATGTTCTTTTACTGCATAGCCTTTCAGTGTTGATACATCTTTTAAGGATGACTGAAGAAAACAATATGTGCATGTTTTTTAAAGCACATTTTTTAAAACATCATAGATTTTGACTTGAATTTTTCACCAAATTACTCATTTTCCTTTTATCAAAATCTAGAAGTTTATTACCAAAAAAAAATTGCTGATACATTCACATCTAGACTGAACTCCCTATTCAGTGAGACAGAGATGAATTCATAGTTTATTATAATTTCCATTGTTTTAGACACACATCCATGATAAATGTAGCATGGTACATATCTCAGTGACATCTCATAGAGTTAAGAAAAAACTTACATGAGGTATAAAATCTTAGATGAGATAATATTTGTAGACACCTGAGAATGGCAATTGTCACATAAGCAAAGATTATATTCTTCAGGCGGGTTCTTAAGACACTACAGATGAATGAAATACCACTTCCATTTTGTTATTTTCAGTCATCTGTTGTAAGGGTGTTTATTCTCTGACCTCTTTTCCAAAACATATTTAACGTTATTAAACTAATTATCCAGTTTTTTTAAACATAGAAGACATCATTTTCAACTTGTCATCAAATTTAGGCATGGATCATTATTTTGCATAGTTGTACCTGGTGTCATTGTAGAGAAACAGTGACACCTCAAAAATATTCATTGCGGGGCTTGGGGATTTAGCTCTGGCATAAGCACCTGTCTTGCAAGCACGCAGTCGTGAGTTCGATCCCTGGTACTGATTAAAATGAAAAAGACAAAAAAAAAATATTCATTGCTAAAGTGTAAGTGTAAACAGTCAATAAATCTCTTTACTTCTGAATTTAATGTGGGGTGCTTAACCACATGTAGATACTACACTAAAAATGAGTAAGACATATCCCCAGGCTTTGAGGAATTTAAAATTTAGTGGAGAAGATAGACATCAAACAAGTAATTACATTGATGCTAGCAAAAAATAAAAAATAGAAGAGTGGAGAGAAAAAGGAATTGAATTTTTTTTTTTTTTTTTTGGTACTGGGGATCGAACTCATGATTGCATACTTACAAGGCAGGCGCTTATGCCACTAAGCTAAATCACCGGCCCAAATACTGAAGGTTTTTTTTTTTTTTTTTTTTTTTGTACCAGGGATTGAACTTACAACCTCAGACTTGCCAGGCAGGCGCTTAAGCTGCTGAGCTAAATCCCCAGCCCAAGAAAAAAGAAAAAGAATTGACAATTGTTATGTATGTGTACTGATTTCCCACAATGAGTGTAATCATTACTGCAAACATGCACCAATAAAAATTTAAAAAATTTAAAACTTGCTCGCCTTTAAAAAAATGAAATGTTAAGTGCCTAGTAGAAGTAAAATCATGGTATCACTGAGGTAGGAGTAACTAGCTCTGCCTAGAGGAGTAAATACAAATTCATACGGGTGTTGGATGTATCGAGATTTATTGTGTGTGCGTGCACGTGTGTGGTGTGTGCTCATGTATAAGTGAGAGCGAGCTTCTTTATTTGAGGGAATCATGGAAGACAAGTGCTGAGAACATTGTGGGTTAAAAGAGACAACAGAACATTACAGTGTAGTGTAACACTGAGCAGATTGTATGTTAGAGGAAAATTACCCTAAAGGATAATACTGTGACTATTATTAGTAAAATTGACCCTGAAATGATTACTGTGCTGTAATTCTATAAAAGAATATTCTGATTCTAAAATTAACTATGGAGAGGGAGGTGGTGGGGTTAGGAAGGAAAATAAAAAAGAATCAAAATGTTTTATGTCAGTGTATCTACTCCCTAAAATTAATGTAAACTTCACATATTGCAAACATTTAACAGTAAAGTAAGAAAATAAAATTACTGAAATACTAAAGGAGTAAAAGGAAATGAAACTAAGATTTGTGACACAGTTGACTTTTTTATGTTTCAAATGTCATCTCAAAACTATTCAGCAGTGCAAGAAACTGAATGAATGGTATCACAGAATACTATTGGTTGGTTGGTTGGTTTTTTTGGCAGGGAGAATACTAGGATTTGAACTCAACTCAGGCAGGTGCTGTACTACCGAGCTATATCCCAGTCCTCATAGGGAACCTTTAAATGTGGAGAGAAAAGTGGTGCACATTGGCATACAGAATAATGAAGCCCGTGGCAAAATGTCAAAAATTAGTGATTCAGCTGGGCACACCTGTAACCCCAGTTCTCTAGGAGCCTGAGGCAAGAGGGTTGCAAGTTCAAGCCCAGCCTGGGCAACTTAGTGACTTACGGAGATCCTGACTCGAAAGAAAAAGAAGAAGGGCTGGGGATGTAGCTCACCTGTGTTTAATCACCAGTACTGTCCAGAGTACCCAGCAATAACTTGTACTAGTTTTCAAATATTCTGTAAATCTGCTATTACTTCACAAGACAAAACTTAAAAGGAAAAGGCATCACCGGAAGACATCATTTCTGAGTATCTACCTAAAGGGTAGATGCTCAGATAGGTAGATTATCAGATAGGTAAGGAGAACAGAAGCCAAAATGTAGAAAGCATATGGAGCCATGAAAGAACATGAGTCATTTGCAAGTATTAAGCATGGTAATTTCTACATTACTGTAAGAAGTTCAGAATACATTCTTCCAAAAAATATATAGAGAATTGGCTTGGCTATTAAGCTGATGTGTGCTCTTCTGAAAACTCAAGAAATGTTTAGCAAATTCTTTAACTAAGATTATACCAAATATTCATTTTATATACCTATGTCATTAAGAAATCTAATCTCTGAATATCCTGACATTTTTTACTGCCTGACAGCATACATTATTACATGGCTATTTAACACATTCACAATGAGGCATAATTCCTATGTCCCACTGCCAAGTGGTTCTGAACCGTTGATGGTTCATTCATAAACTATTAAGTCTCATTGCGTGGTATAAGCTCCTTATACCAGTCATGGGGCAGTCATGTATGTACAGCTGATTCAAGCTGGTGAATCTGTGTTAAAATGACGTATGTAGGAGTGAGTTTGAGCAGCTTTAATAAGTAAATAGGCAATATTTAGTATCCTTATACCTCTGAATTGAAAAGTAGTTCCCTTTTTGTAGAATGGGAATAGTGATTAGTGATAATTTACAAGTTTTGACCAATCAAACCAATAACAATAAACCTGTAAATATGCCATCAATATCCATCTTTATTAAGAAAATAAATTAGAATGAAGCTGAGAATCTTGGAAAAAAAAGCTAAGGAAGCAGACTAAGTCACGTTAGTAATTTTCACCCTTAAAAGCCAGAATAACCAAGCACTCATCCTTTTGCAAACTTGCAGTAATACTTTGATTACTTTTACCTTTATCTTTTCAATCTTAGTCTAGAGGTTAAAGTATTACTTCTAATGATACTTCACTTACACTATTTTTCTTGCGAACTTTGGTGGTAAGACTTCTACAGATACCTTTTAAAAATCAGATGGCTCTGTGTTCCATGTGGGTAATACTTTTTAGGACATGGATGAAAGATCATAGATGAGGTCCTCAAATAATACGCAAACAGGTCTTTCCTAGGGAAGGGAAATCATTGCTGAATGCTTTTGAGGTAGTTCTTGTAATAATAAGGAAATTTCCAGTTTTTTGAAGTGATAGTTTTTCCATTTGTCCTTACATAAATATGCATTTATGTTTTGTAATTTGTAAATCCATATAATACTCTACTTTGAGTTCTATTTGAAACATAGAAGTGTAATTCAGTAGGAATTATTTATTATAAGGTAAACTTACTTTCTGGGTATGCTGTACCACAAATTTCTTAGCAAATAAAACCAGACTTTTCAAGATTAAAAAAACCAATTTAAAAATCTTATTTCAAAGGATAAATAAGATTGAATACTTTTAATTTTTTTAAATAGCATTTACTAGAATGGTTGAATTTTTATGTTGTAAAAATAATTGTGAAATCTTTCATAGACTGCAGAGTAATTTGCAATGGAATGACATTTTAAAGTTTATATACCTGTTTTTGTTGTTGAACAAAGATCTATAAGCTTTTTGAAATTGTTGAAACTTAAATATTTAAGCACTAGAGAATATGAACAGTTTATCTTATATTCTCTGTACATAGTTGTTAGTGAGTAAAAGTAATTGCGAGCTTTGTGTTTTAGTTATTTTAAACAATTTTTGTATATCTGGAAATTGTCCAAGTGATTTTCACAGTAACTTGATTGTTTACTGATTACTAATAGTGCTAATAGTACTTTATATTGTATTTGTAGAAAATTATTTTTTTTTTGAGGATCCAGGAGTTACACATAATTATTTAAAGTTACAGTGCTTTTTATTAAGTGTGTTTAAAATTTTTAGTGGTTTTATTAAGTATATTTAAAATTGTTGCTGCTTTCTCTAATTACAAGAAAATCGAGGGAAGACTTCGTGCAGTTTTAATTTCTTTTGTTTTTTCTTAGCAATTGAAAGCATGTAGTGAAGAGCAAGAAGACAGAGAATGTTTGAATCAAGCTATCACTGCTCTCATGAATCTCCAGGGTAGCATGGACCGGATTTATAAGCAGCATTCTCCGCGACGCCGGCCTGGGTAATTCACTATTGAGAATCTGAATGCCTCTGTAGACTTTATTGTTTGTGGTGCCTGTGTTCTTAGCAAATGTGATGTATAGTGATAGTTGCATTCTTAAAAGTTACACTTCGTCTTCACCTTTGTTAGTCTTAAGATTAGCTTGACCATGTTCTTAAGAGAACTTAATATGCCTAAAAATGTTTAATTACTTTTTATATAGTCTACACCAGACTTTTAATATAGTCTTTATAGTTTTTGTGGCATTGGGAGTAAAATATGGAGCCTGTAATACTTATCTTTCACAATAATGAATTTTGGTGCTTTTTTTTTTGTCTTTGTTTTTGGTACCGGGGATTGGCCTCATGACCTCGCACCTTACACCACTGAACTAAAACCTTGACCCCACAATAATGAAATTTGAACACATATTATTTAGTGACAAAGTTAGAAGGAAGTGGTTATTTTACTCTTTAAAATTTAAGGGCCAGTGATTTAGCTCAGTGGTGCAGCTTCTGTCTGGCAAGTGTGAGGTCCTGAGTTTGATTCCTTGTACCAAAAATAAAATAAAATTTGAGTATTAGGTGTTGAACCTGGAGCCTTTCCTATGGTAAGCATGTACGCTACACTTTGAACTGCATTCCTCGGTGCAGTTTAATTGCTTTGTCATTTGATTTGAGGTTATTTTTTGATGTAACTAGGGTTGCCTAATAAATGAATAAGCTAAATTTATGTTGGTATTCTTTTTAAAGGGATCCTGTTTGCCCTTTTTATAATCGTCAATTAAGAAGCAAGCACCTGGCTATCAAAAAAATGAATGAAATTCAGAAAAACATAGATGGATGGGAAGGCAAAGATATTGGACAGTGTTGTAATGAATTCATAATGGAAGGACCGTTGACAAGAATTGGTGCTAAACATGAACGGCACATTTTTCTGTTTGATGGACTAATGATCAGCTGTAAACCTAATCATGGCCAGACTCGGCTTCCAGGTTATAGTAATGCAGAATATAGATTAAAAGAAAAGTTTGTCATGAGGAAAATACAAATCTGTGATAAAGAAGATACTTGTGAGTGCAAACATGCCTTTGAATTAGTATCCAAAGATGAAAACAGCATAATATTTGCTGCTAAGTCTGCTGAAGAGAAAAATAATTGGATGGCAGCACTTATTTCTCTTCATTATCGTAGTACTCTAGATCGAATGCTAGATTCTGTGTTATTGAAAGAAGAAAATGAGCAGCCACTGAGATTGCCAAGTCCAGAAGTGTATTGTTTTGTGGTAAAAGACTCTGAGGAGAACATTGTTTTTGAAGACAATTTGCAAAGTAGAAGTGGAATCCCCATTATTAAAGGAGGAACTGTGGTGAAGTTAATTGAGAGGTTAACATATCATATGTATGCAGGTGTGTGATATTCACGATAAGTGCTTATGTAGGGCCTTTGCTCTTAAAGATAGTAAAAAGTGGGGAAAAGTGGATTGACTATAAAAATACTGATAAACAAATGTTTCTGAAATGTAATATTGTTAACTTTATTAAATAAGTGTTCTGTGGCTTTTCTTTACATGAGAAACCCAAAATATAAATAAAGAGCAAAGTAAAAGATAGATAATAGAAAATAGGAAAATACTGCAAAAGTTAGAGGATCAAGAGATGGAAGAGGGGAGGGACAGGGATGAAAAAAGAATTAGATTGTTATGTACATATACCCACAAGGAGTGTAATGATATACTGCAAACGCATACTAATACTTTTTAATTAAGAAAATAAGTGTTTGTGAAATTTGCATGTTCATAAATTTTAAATTTGCAAAACAGTCCTTATTTATCAAGAAATACCACAACTTGCAGGAAAAGCCATAGTACAGGGACCTTAAGTAAAAAGAAAGAAGGAGAAATACCAAACTTTGAATTAAACTGAGTAAATTGAACATGAAATCTGTTTTTATGCTCTGCTTTTTCAGATCCCAATTTTGTTCGTACTTTTCTTACTACATATCGATCATTTTGTAAGCCACAGGAATTGCTAAGCTTACTGATTGAACGGTGAGAAAATATATATTTTACTTACATTAACATTTTATGAAAGGTTAACTGCTTTATATGCTGTAGAGTGCCTAGTATCTAGTACATACTCAGGTAGTCATTGAACATAATTTATTTGGCATTACCTTGGCAGTGTTGCTGTTGTCTTCAAAGAATATTCACTTGAATTCCTGTTTGTAACGGAGCTTTTTTTTTTTTTAGCTTTTTAACAGTATTTCAAGCAGTAAAAGCATAAAGACCCAATTTAGAAGATAAAAACTACATTTTAGTGAACTTTGTTATGTTCCTTCTAAGAACTTTACTTTTCCCTTTTAAAACAAACTTGTTGTGGGAAACTTCAAAATATATATAAGATTAGATAAAAGAATATAATAAACCCGTTTACTATCACAAACTTAATCATTAATTCTTGTTTCATCTGTTTACCTACAGATTTAAGCATCACACCCTCAGAATTATTTTGAAGTAGATTTCAGACAACATTTTATCTGTAAATATGTTTATCTCTGAAAGATAAATATTGTACTTTATAAACATTTCACAGTTCCTTTATTGTAATATTTATTTGTATATTTGTTAGGATACTGGATAATTGAGCATGGGGCCATAAACATACTAGGAAAGTACTCCTAACCCTTTAAAAATTTTTATTTTTAGACAAAAAATAATTTTTGTCTTATATTTAAAAATTTAAACTACCTTTGTATCTTGACTTGTGCTTTCATATTATGAAACTAAACTCAGTAGACTGAGTCAATGTAATATATTATGAAGATCTACTTAGTTGTATTTCTGTGTCTAAAATGAGGAAAATATAACTTATGAGACATATTTTAGCTATATTTCTTATGATTGGGCAAGGTTTTTGTTTTTTGAACTTGATTATTTATTTTACTCATTTAGCTCTCCCTCTTTTTTTTTATCGGTACCAGGGATTGAACTCACAACCCCCTGTTTGCAAGGCAGGTGCTTATGCTGCTGAGCTAAATCCCCAGCCCTAGCTCTCCTTTTTAAATTCATAATCACTTAAGGAAATTTATTAGCCTGCGTTCATTTTAATAATATAAATATTAAGGTTAGATTATTAGATAAACTTTTTTTCATGGTGGTGGTGATACTAGGAAGTGAACCCATGGTTTTCACACTGAGCTAGATCCCCAGCCCTTTCTAACTTTTTTTGTTTTGAGCAAGAGCTTGCTAAATTGCTCAGACTGGGCTGGAATTTGCAGTCCTTTCTTCATCCTTCAGGGTGCTTGGATTATAGGTGTGCTCACTAAACCTGGCTGGCTACCTTTCTCTCTCTCTCCCTCTCTCTCACTTCTCTCCCCCTCCCCCACCCTGTTCTCCTCCCCCCTCCCCCATTTCCCTCCCTCTCCCTTTCCTTCTTCCTCTCCCTGTCTCTCTCTCCCTCCCCTTGAGAAAAGATCTTGCTATGCAATTCAGACAAGCCTGCAACTCATAGCAGTCCTTTTACCTCATCGTCCCAAGTGCTGGGATTTACAGCTGTGCACCACCACATCTGGCTTCTTTCACATTCTTTTAGAGAAGTTATACTCTTTATGGATTCTTTTTTTGGCTCTTTTCCATGAATCCATTCTGTGTTAATGAGTGATAGTTATACAACTTTTTTTGGATAAAAATAAAAATATAAGGCCTTAGTACCATATAGCTAATGGGCAATTTTTTGTAATGTGCAGACCCTTAAAGGAGATTTAACAGTAATTGCACTTTCTGTGAAATGATAGGAGATGATTGCTTAGTTGAAATATTTTTCCTGTTGCATTTGAAATCTTTTTCTTTCATATGTGAACAAATTTCTTTCCTTTTGATTTTCTTCTTAGATTTGAAATCCCGGAGCCAGAACCTACTGAAGCAGACAAATTGGCAATGGAGAAAGGCGAGCAGCCAATCAGTGTGGACCTAAAAAGATTTCGCAAGGAATATGTTCAACCAGTACAACTTAGGTTTGACCTAATTATTACTTTTTTTTTTTTTTTTTTTGTCTTTTTCCTTTTTATCAGTACCAGGGATCGAACTCACAACTGCCTGCTTGTAAGGCAGGCGCTTATGCTGCTGAGCTAAATCCCCAGCCCCAATTATTACATTTTTAATGTGCTATTCAATTTTCAATAATTACCACAAATAAATACAGTTTTAGAGGAGTAATAGTGCTCCTAGCTGTATATCTTTCTCTGAACTTTTAGCATGTCATTCTTTGAATAATATGATATTATTTACCCATTAGCATTAAAGAAGAAATTAATTTTTCTCTACCATCTGTGGTGCATTCATACCGATCTACACTCAGATTCAGTATGTTGATATAAGGCATGTATTTATGAGGTTCTGTGTAGTAAAGGAAATCAGATCTTAGACTCAGTCATTATTAGCAATTTAGCATTTATTAGCAATTTAGCATATTATTAGCAATTTAGCATTTATCGTTTATTCTAAAATGTGCTAAATTTATTTCTAAGTATTTTCTGTCTTCTGAGCTCTGTGCTTGTATACTTGTACTTACGCTGAAAAAAAATAATAGAGCCTGTCATGTTACAGCATCATGATGCCATGATTTTATTGAGAAAAAGGGACACATGGAACAGTTACAAAGGATGTTTGAGTATTTAAGTGGTTGACAGAAATTCAAGCCTATAAAATTTTAGAAATAGTTGAGATTGGACTGTAGTGATTAGGGATCACAACTTGAAAGACAGAAAAGCTGAGGTTGCCCCTAACATATATCTAGAGTAAGTAGAAAGGCAATTGTAAGAAAGTAAGGGTCATGGGAAATGATACAAATAAAAGGCAAAAAAACAGAATTGAGAGTCGTATACAGAGGAAATATCAAGGAAATTGACCATACAGGAATCAAGACATTATATTGCAAATAGGAGTAGATGATATTAATACATGGATGAGGTACAGTTACATTTTTAAACGTAGATCAAAACTAATTTTAAACCTACTAGCCTATATCTATTGTTAACATTGTTCTGTACTTGTTTTTATTACATATTTTTTCATTTGTCATTCTTTGTACATTAGTCACCAACTTTTAATGTATTTGAAAGTACACTTCTGAAAAAAAAAAAAGAAAGTACACTTCCGAAATACTTCCAGCTTGTATATTATTAGCAATTTAGCATTTATCGTTTATTCTAAAATGTGCTAAAGAACACACATCTTATGTGTATTCTAATAAAATTGAATTTTAATAAATGTGTGCATGTTGAATCTTTGTAATTCAAACTCAAAGATACAGAATATTAATAAAACGTTAGCAAACTCTAGAAAGCTGCCTTCTTTTTCTAATCACATTTTCCTCCCACTCCCCAAATGCTGTTTTCTGGGTTGTTTTGTTTTTGGGATTGAGCTCAGGGTCTTAGTAATGTAAGGTAAGCACTGTAGTACTGAACCGTACCTCAGTTCTTTTTATTTTGAGACAGGGTCTACACTGTTTTGCATAGTTGACCTTGAATTTGTAATCCCCCTGCCTCAGCCTCCCAAAGGGCTGGGATTTACAGGCATGCACTACTATGACTGAGGCAACCTCAATATTGTGATTTTATCACATTCGACTAGTTTTACCTATTGAAGAATTGCATATAAATGTTTCTTTCAGTCAGCTTGCTTTTCAGATTCATCCATGTTGCTTATATTAGTAGTTTTCTCTTTTTTGATTGAGGTAATATTTCATTGCATGGATATAGCACAGTGTATGTGTAGGTACGTGTTTCTCATTGAACAATGCCTGGGCATTTTCCAGTCTTTATTATGAATAAAGCTGTTGTAAATTTTATCTTACAATCTTAAAATTATGTTTATGTCTTTTTCACTTACTTTGGGTAAATAACTAAAAATGAAATGGCCTGGTCAAAATTTTCTCTCAATATTCAGACGCTTGTAAGCAGTGTCTGAGAGTTCCGTTGCCCTTTATCCTCTCTGCAGTTACCATTGTCAGTTTTTAGTCCTTAGCCATGCTGCTGGCTGCAGACTGGTTTCTCATGGTAGTTTTAATGTGTATTTTGCTAATATTGAGAATTTTTGTCTCTTATTGGCCATTCATACTTATTTTTTAAAAAACCATTTGAATCTTGCCTATGTTTGTTGAGTTTTTATTTCTGAGTTACAACAGTGTATTGAGTAGGATTTGAGGTAATCTTTTGTCAGGAAAATGTTTTGCAAATATTTTTTCTCAGACTGGGGCTTGCCTAGCTGAAATTTTAAATTTTGATAAAGTCTTAATGATCAGATTTTTTCTTTTGTATGATAATTTTAAAATTACGTTGATACTATAGAAACTACAAGAGAGACAAAATAGAAGCAGAATTGTAATGTTCCATTATATTCTCCAGGCCAGTGAGCTAATCAGACACAATGATGTGAGGTTGTTTTAATACAAATAGCAAAACCAAGATTAGGAATTAAATGAACTTTTTTTAATCTGAAAGGAATACTGTTGTCTTTCAGGGTGGGAATAGACGCTAACTTGGAAATGATCATGTGAATTTTCATTACTGTTAATGTAACTGATATATACAATCAGTATGTCTGTGTGGTAGTTAGTGGAACGCCATGTTTGTATAGATTATTTGGAAGTGTGTAGAAGAATATTTTCACAGTTCTACAAAACCAAACAGCTCTCTGTCAGAGATATTTTTAGTCTGGTTTGGTGCTGTATACCTGTAACCCTGGAGTGCAGGAGGTTGAGGTGGGAAGATCAGAAGCCCAAAACCAGCTGGGGCTAATACTGACTTAGTAAGATCCTAGCTCAAAAATAACAAAAAAAGGCAGGGGATGCAGCTCAGTGAAGGCTCTGGATTCAATCTCCAGGACCACATGAAAAAATATTGCCCGTGGAAGTGAAATAAAACATTATGGGTGTATCTGTAGGTTACATTCTTGAATTTTACAATCCAATACATTGGCTTTTTTTTTTTTTTTTTTTTTGGTACTGGGACTTGAACTCAGGACCTCATACTTGCCTTTTAGCTTTCCGTTTTCTGTAAAATGTATATCAAAATCTGTATTTTTAAAATGTCTTTTCAGTTTCAAAACTTGAAAAATAGCTTTTGTACTGTAGCCCGTGAATTTTCTACATATAAATAAAGGTACTTTTCTCTAACATAAATGGTTAAGCACAGAAACCACAGTTTTTATACTTAGGAATATTTTAAAGTCCAATATAAAAATAATTTACAATCTAGAGAATGGCTTTCTTTATAGTACTGAAGAAAAATATTAAGATATTAACTAAATATATATTAATAACTCTGCAAGTATTATATTAGTTCTTGTACGTAAAACTACCACCATGGCACTAAAGAAGTGCTTAGCTTTCATTAAAATGCTTAGCTTTCATTAGAATGAAATGCTTAGCTTTCATTAAAATGTGTTCCTTTCCATTTTTTTCAGGGTCTTAAATGTTTTTCGGCACTGGGTTGAACACCATTTTTATGACTTTGAAAGAGATTTGGAATTGCTTGAAAGACTAGAATCCTTCATTTCAAGTGTAAGAGGTATATTATTTAAAGATCAAATTGAATCTTGTATTGTACAAGTTTATATGAGATTGTCACTTTTAATTAAGCTATATTTTGTTTTTAGAAAGCCGAAATACTATTTGGAATGATTTTTATAGTTTCTAAAAAACTCATATGTGTTTAGAGCTACCCAAAACTTCGAGACTTTGGCTTTCCAAGTTTGTGTGTGTTGGTTAGCAGTGCTGGGAATCAAATCCAGCGTCTCACAGATACTAGGCAAGTGCTGTGCCCCTGTGCAGTACCCTCTGCCCCCTTTTGAAGTTTTTGAGGCAAGCATTTCCTTTAAAGAATTCATTTAATTTTATCTTAACTTAAAGCTGCTTTTCCTTCAATAAATAAAAATATATGTAGTTTTGTTTTTTTCTTATCCTTTTTCTTCAGTTTTGGATGATTAACAGCTTTTTTATATTAATTTCCCCTGGAAAGTAGACATTTCCTACTTCAAGTTTCTGACATTGCCTCTGAAACAAAACTGTGGGCCATGAACATTTTCGACAGATATATGTGTGATCAAATGTATGTTATTAAATTTAGAACATTGATCTTTTATTTATGAAACATTAAGAATAATATAACAAGGCTAGTTTATTTCATGTCCTATTTATTCTTTAAGGAGAATTTAATTTCGAGTAGAGAACATGACTCATTTGTTTTAATTTAAATTATATTCCTAATGAGAATGCTAGATTGTATTTAATCTAAGAAGTTGCTAAAACACACATGTGTGTTAAAATAAATCAAGTAAATGGTTATGTTAAGGTCTAAAAGCCTTTCCTATAAAATTATACTTTAGGATAACCAAATAGTTCATGAGGGAACATTCATTTTTTAATAGTAGTCAAGTAATAAGGAATGATGTAATACCATCATTTCTTAATTCTTATAAATAAGAGATCTAGGGAATTAGAAATAGATGGCAAACATCACAAAAAAGGGAAATAACCAGATACTGTGTGCTTCCTGTTGGAAATATTGTTGGCAAGTATTCATGACAAAATATTGATGCTGAATTTGTCAAGTCTATTTGTGGTTTCCAGAAAATACAGGATATAGAAAAATCTGAAAAATGACATCACAGAAAAGCTGGGCATGGTGGTACATACCTATAATCCCAGCATTCAGGAGGCTGAGGCAGGAGGATCTCTGTGAGTTCAAGGCCAGCCTGGGCCATATATTGAGACTCTGTTTCAAAAAAGCAAAAACATCACAGATAGAATTGGCAAAATACAGATTTGGAACACTCCACAGGCCAAGTGATTCAGTTTCTTCAACAAATAAGTTACAAGCAAAAATGTGCAATAAAAGGGGAAACCATAGGTTAAAGACTTGACTGACTCAGTGCAATATGTGATTCTTGTTTGTGTCCTTTTTAAAACAAACCAACTGTAAGAATACATTTGAGAGATAGAGAAATTTGAAGGTGAACAATATGTAGTGGCACTAACATTTCAGTTTTTGTATGTGGTAATGATACTGTGATTATGTTAACAAGTGTTTCAGAGGCACATATTTATGTATCAGTGAAGTGGTAGACTGTTGGATTTGTGTCAGTTATAGCCTACAGAGTCAAGGGAGGGCATGAATGTGGTTAGAGGAAGCAAAAATTGGCCAGGAGTTGATAATTGTTGAAACTAGGTAAAAGTTAAATATTACAAAGTTTACAGTTACATCTGTTGAACAGAAAACAATTCTGTATGTGTGTTCTTTTCCCAGGGAAAGCCATGAAGAAATGGGTAGAGTCAATTGCTAAGATCATCAAGAGGAAGAAACAAGCTCAGGCAAATGGAATAAGCCATAATATTACCTTTGAGAGTCCACCTCCGCCCATTGAGTGGCACATCAGTAGGCCTGGACAGCTAGAGACGTTTGAGCTTATGACCCTTCATCCAATAGAAGTCGCACGTCAGCTAACACTTTTGGAATCTGATCTGTACAGGTAACTAACTAATGGTAATTTTTTACTGTTTTAAAGGATTTTAATGTACTTCCTATACTTGTTTTTTAAACATTTTGCTGATTATTCATGAGTGCTTAAAAATACCTCATCTATTCTGTGCTTGGAGGATAGCTCATAGCACAGTGTTTACTGCAGTCTGTCCTGCAAATGGAAGGCCTAGATGAGGGGATAATAATCCTTCACAAAAGGAAGGGTAAGAAGAGGACAAACACAAGAAAAGAGCGTCCACTTTCAAATGAGTTTTTTTCCTCCCTGCTGTTCTAATACTTTCTTAGTTGTGGCTAAGAGCACTTTAGTTGGCAGCTATGTTGTGGGATTTGGGATTGATAGGAATGAAGGGACTTGTTATTTGAGGCAACAAAGCAAATCATACTGAATTGAGTTTTTCCTCATAGAGTGCCTGTTATGTGAGTGGACATCAGAAAACAATGGGGACCTGCTTTTAGGACAGAGAAATACCTCTGTCAGTGATGTGTGTGGTGGGAAAAGAGCAACATATGTAAAACATGGACAAAGTAAATGTTACAAAGTAAATTACTGATGAAATGGTAGAGCTACTTGAGAAATGTATTCCAAAATGTTAACATGTACCTCTTTGTATTCAAATCTACTGATTTTAAAAAATTTTTGAATTTCTAAGACCATAGGATATTGTTGACAAAGCTATCACGTGCTTTTAGAAGTTATGTCTTCCTGATTCATTGTGACAATTTAATCTGCTTTTCCTTTTCTTTCTTTCTTTTTTGTTTGTTTGTGTTTGTTTTTGGTACCGAGGAGCAAACTCAGATTCCTGGCCCCTTAATCTGCTTTTCTGTCTGAGTTTTCATTAGCTATCACAAGTATCCAAACAAATGTAGGAAATAATATAACGAGCCAGGCGTGGTGGCTCATGCCTGCGGGAGGCTGAGGCAGGAGGATCGTTGTGACCAGCCTATGCAACAAAGTGAGCTCAAGGCCAGCCTGAATTGCACAGCAAGGCCCTGTCTCAAAAAGACAAAAATAAATGAATGAATGAATGAGTGAATAAATAAAAAACAAGTACTAATGAAACACAAAAACAATACAGATAAAAATCCTTATAATTTTCTCCATTCTCATTGCCTTTCTGTCCTCCAAGAAATGACTACTGCTCACAATTTGATGTTTACCATTTTTATGTTTGTTAATTTATATTCATAATACTTAGTCTTAAATAATATGTAGTTTTAGCTTGCAGATTTTTACTTTTTTTTTGGTTCTAGGGATCGAATTCATAACCTTGCACTTGCCAGGCAGGTACCTCTAGCACTGAGCTAAATCCCCAGACCTTTAATTTCTTTTTTTTTTACTTGCAGATTTTTAAACTGCATAATTTTTATTAGTCTGCAACATGTTTTTTACTTTGTTTTTGATACTTGTTCAAGTTGAATACAGTTCTAGTTCATTTATTTTAGCCACTGTCTAGTATTGCACTTTATGAATATTTCAGTTTACCCAGTCTCTTAATGATGAACCTCTAGTTTTTGGGGAGTTTTCATTTTTGAAAATAAAAATTCTAGTAAATGTGCTCCTATAACTTTGTGTAAGAACTTATAGAGAGAAGGTATCTAGGTGGCTAGTTCAGGTAGCACGAGTATTTTCAGTACTGAGAAATTGCTAAATGATTTTATAGAGTGGTTGTATCTAGTTTTTACTTGCAAATCAGTGTGGGAAAATCCTTCATTGTATTTTTACTTGTTTAGTGTTGTCAGATTTTGGTTAGTTTGATGGAATAAAATGGGATTTCATTGCAATTTTATGTTCTTTTTCCTGAATAACAGATTTTTTTTCACGCTTATGGCTATTTGGGTCTGTTACTCTGTGAACTTGTTCATATTGTTGTCAGTTTTTATTTTGGCTTATTTTTTTCTTTCTGCATACAAGGAGATTGCCAGGCATGGTGATGCATGCCCATAATCCCAGCACAGGAGGCTGAGGCAGGAGGATTGCCATGAGTTTGAGGCCAGCCTGGGCTACAAAAGTGCATTCAAGGCTGGCCTGCACTACAGAATGAGACCTTGTCTCAAAAAAAATTTTTTTTAAATTAATTAATTCAAAAAGGTCTTTAAATAATTTTGATACTGGTAGTCCTTTGGAGTTCAAGTTGTATTGATTTTTTTATTCCACAGAAAAGTCCAACCTTCTGAACTTGTAGGGAGTGTGTGGACCAAAGAAGATAAAGAAATAAATTCTCCAAATTTATTGAAAATGATTCGCCATACCACAAATCTCACTCTCTGGTTCGAAAAGTAAGTTGTTATTTACTCCATCTTACTGCCTTTTAATATTGACTGTGTTATAGGAAACATGAAGTTCCGAATCAAAAGAAATTCATTTTCTAAATGAGGTGAAGATACTTTTCTAAGCTACTAATTTGTTGTTGTTACTAGATGCATTGTGGAAGCAGAAAATTTTGAAGAACGAGTGGCAGTATTAAGTAGAATTATAGAAATTCTGCAAGTTTTTCAAGATTTGAATAATTTCAATGGCGTATTGGAGATAGTCAGTGCCGTAAATTCAGTGTCAGTGTACAGACTAGACCACACCTTTGAGGTAAGTTTCAGGCTTATTTCATCCTTTTAGGGAAAGATACAATTAATGTAAAAGACACTACTTCTACTACCTTTTGTAGTAAATCCTTTGTAAATTCATCCTTTCCTTTTAAGTACAGTGATTAGGAAGATATGCAGACACTAGAAAATATATCAATATGTATTAGTAAGTTTAGAATTCATCAAAGAGTGTGAGATATGTTTAATATTCTTAACATAAATATTAAGTATATTATTAACATAAGTATTAAGTATATTAAACCTCTATTATACCCTAACTTTAATCCTGACTTCAGTGTGATAAAGTTTCAAGTGGATTGTTTCAGTAGCACACTGACTGATAGTCTTACATAAATAACAAAAGATTTAAAATATGATACAAGGGCCAGGGATATAACCCAATGGCACAAGTGCCTGCCTGGCTACTGCAAGGTCATGAGTTCTATTCCTGGTACCAAAAATAAAATAGATACAAATTCCTTCTTTACACCTATAATAATCAAAAAAAAAAAAGGATGGAATGAAGAGAATCTGTTCTTTAAAACTTAAATTTATTTTTTTAATTATAAAATGATGTGCTTAGTATTATAGAAAATTCAGGAAATAAAGTATAGAAATTTTTTTATATTTTAATAACAAAACTAAGACCATATTGTAGATTTGTATGGGTTACATATTTTTCTTACACACATTATCTTGTTTTGCTAGCTTGTCTTCAAAAACAAGCGTGTGTGGTTTTCTGTCGTATGGCTAAAACATACTCGTGTTTCATCATTCCGTTGTGGGAAGTTATTTCTGATAAATAATTTCTTGTGTACTATCCATATGCAGAAGTCTTTGTAAGAATTTAATTATTTCACTAGAATAATTTTTGTAGATGCAAATCCTGGGGCAGAGTATGTGTCCATCTTAAAACTTGATGTTTTCACCATGGTATTTTCTAGCTAGAAATGACAAGTACTTGTGGATATTGCTACATAAAAAAAATGCTAGGCGTGGTGGCTCACGCCTGTAATCCCAGCACTTGGGAGGCTGAGGTGGGAGGATCATTGCGAGTTCGAGACCAGCCTGGGCTACAAAGTGAGCTCAAGGCTGGCCTGAACTGCATAGCGAGACCCCGTCTCAGAAAAGACAAAAAAAAAAAAAAAAATTGTATAGATTTCATGGACCAAAAATGAAATTCTCATTTTAAATTTTATTTTTACAAACAACTAGTGAAGTTGAATATTTGAAAGTATATTTATTGGCTACTCTTTTTTTTTTTTTTTGTCTTTTTTGTTTTTATCGGTACCAGGGATCGAACTCACGACTGCCTGCTTGCAAGGCAGGTGCTTATGCCGCTGAGCTAAATCGCCAGCCCCTTATTGGCTACTCTTATATTTTATTTGTGATTTATCTGTTTATGGTCTCGTTTTTCTTTTGGAATGTTTACATTTTGTTAATTTATATGGACTTCTTATATATTAAAGATACTAAAATTTAGGCTGTCTATATCCTTTCATTTCTATTTGTTTTTATTTCATCTACTTTTTGGGAGTGTTTGTTTGTTTACTTGTTTGTTTTGAGATAGGGTCTTGCTATGTAGTCTAGGCTGGCCTTGAACTCATTGTGTAGCCCAGGCTGGCCTCAAATTTGAAGCAGTCATCCTGTCTCTGCCTCCTGAATGCTAGGTTTACAGGCATGCATCACCATATTCTGCTCCTGTTTGCTTTTTAATTTAAAAAAATTAATAACAATTATAAATCAAAATCTCTTTATGAATTCTTCTTTGCTTTTGTATTATAGAAAGACTTTTTTTTTTTTCTTTTGATACTGGGGATCAAACTCACGACTTAGCTCTTGCCAGGCAGGTGCTTATGCCTCTGAGCAAAATCCCTGGCCCCTAGAAAGACTTTTTCTAGTGAAGACTAACAAGATAAAAACTCAGCTATATTAATATTGTTTTTGGAAATACGAGTTTTTACAGTCTTTCTGGAAATGTTTACTAATGTTTGTTAAAAAATACTTCTAAGAGACTGAGGCAGGAGGAGATCACAACTTTAAGTTCTGCCAACATAACTTAGTGAGACACTATCTCAAAATAAAAAGTTAGGGGCTGGGGATTTAGCTCAGCGGCATAAGCGCCTGCCTTGCAAGAAGGCAGTCGTGAGTTCGATCCCTGTTACCAATAAAAAGGAAAAAGGCAAAAAAATAAAAATTAAAAATTAAAAAAGGAGTAGGGATATGTAGCTCAGTGGTAGAGTGGCCCTGGGTTCAATTTCCCTAGTACCATACATACTATGCTTGGACCTGAAAAATCTTAGAGAAATAATAGCAGATTGCATGTGCAATGATACAGTTTTTACAGCATTAATTATAGTAGCAGAAAACTAGAAATAGTCTAAGTAAGTGTCCATGTGAGAGAGTAATTATAAATACATTATTTTTTAAATTGGTACTGGGGATCAAACTCATGACCACCTGCTTACAAGGCAGGTGCTTATGCCGCTGAGCTAAATCCCCAGCCCATAAATGCATTATTTTACATTTGTAGTATGGAGTATTGTTTGACCATAGGAAAAAATGATGAGATCTTTGTGTGTTGTCTTCGAGAAATATTTGTGATACTTAAAGGATAAAGCCATAAGAAAGCTTCACAAATGACTTGTGATTCCATTTTTAGTACTAGAAAACAGAACTAACCCTAAATTTCTCAGTATTTAGAATAGTGTAGAAAGATACATACTCCCTTCATATCTTGCTTTTTGGACTGGGAATAAAACCCAGGGCACCTCAGTAAGCTATACCCCACTCCATATTTCTCTTTAACATTGATTTTTTTCAGTAGGTTGTATTAAAGGGGAATGAAGGAAAAATCACTTTTATACATATATTTTTCTGTTTGGCTGTTTGCATGTTAATTGACTTACATGAATGAACTTTATATACTAAAGATACTAGTATAATCTGTTTCAATTCTGTGTTTGAAAAACTTTGAGATAGTGTATTCATTTTAGAGGGTAAGTAGCTTGGGCTGACCTTAAACTCATGGTAGTTCTGCCTTGACCTCCTGAATGCTGGGATTACAGACATGTGACACAATGCTGGGCTAGTTTTTAAAAAAAATATTGTGGCATAGTGATTATTATATATAAAGTATGCAGAATAAAACTAAAAACTATCTGTAAACTGGTGTCCAGTTTAAGAGCCCCTTTAATTCCATCTCCTTCCTTACCTTCTCCATCACAAAGACGAATATGTGGCTCACTATTGTAGTGCTGGGAGACTGGGGCAGTAGGACTGAAAGTTCATGCCCAGCCGGGGCAGTTTAGCAATTAGCGAGAGGCAGTAAAAAGGACCAAGGATGCGGCTCAGTTGGATGCTTAGTACTGCAAAGTAAGCAGTGAAAAAGAAATGTGTGAGAAACAGTTATTTCATGTTCTCACCAGTACTTGATATTGTCAGGCCTTCTAATTTTTCCATTCTTGGGACTTTGGTTGGTATTTTCCTGATTTCTAATGAGTTTAAACCTGTTTCAAGTATTTATTGGTTGTCTGTATTTCTTCTTAAGGAAACCTTTGAACTTTTATTTTGTTGTAGAGTTTTTCATATAAATTCATACGAATTCTCTCACACTGAATTTTAACACTTTGTCATTTAGTGAATGGTAGATAAACTTTTCCCAAATTAAAATTTCCTTTTTCAGCTATTTTATGATAACTTTTTAATGAATAAGAATTATTAATGTAGTCAACTTTACCTATTTTTTCCTGTGTTACTATGCTTTTTATTGTCAAGCTTAACAAGTCTTTTCCTATTAACCTAATGTTTTGTCTTCTTATTAAGTCCTTAATTCAGCTGGTGAGATTGTTCCTGTAGCCACCCAGCTGCTTTCACACAGTTTGTTCAAAGTCCACTCGTTCCCCCATTGACCTGTAGGGCCTGTAGTGTCATAGACAGAGAGCCCATATGTGGACTGTTTCTGGTCTCTCTATTCTTTTTTTAAATCTGACTTTTCTTGTGCTATATATCTAAATTACCATACATTTATATTAATTCTTTTTTTTTTTTTTTTTTTTTGTCTTTTTCTTTTTTATCGGTACCAGGGATCGAACTCACGACCGCCTGCTTGCAAGGCAGGTGCTTATGCCGCTGAGCTAAATCTCCAGCCCCCATTTATATTAATTCTTAGGGATGTGGCAAGCCCCTACAAATCTTACACTTTTTCAGAATGACTTATTCTCGGTTCTTTGCTTTCCTATATAAATTTCACAATCATTTCAAGCTTCATTTTAAAAAATTGACATTTTGATAAAAGTTGCATTGGATCTATAAGTTGGTTAGTAAAGAATTGATAGTGTTACCGTAATTTGTCTTACCATGAACATGATATAGCCCTGTGTTTATTTACTCATTGCAGTTACAGTTTTTTGACAGACATCTCATACTTTGTTATTTATGTTAGAATCTTTTCATCATATTTTCTTTACTGGTTGAAGACATGTAGAAGTACAATTGGTTTTTCTAATTGGAGTTAATTCATGAGTAGTTATATTCTCTAAATAGTGATTTTTTTCATTACAATCCCTGTTTTATTTATTAGTCCTTTCTTTTCCTTGTCCTTGTTAGCTGGGACTTCTGCATGGTATTGATTAAAAGCTATGCAGACTCCTTTGTTTTCTCCTCAGCTTAAAGGAACTGTACTGAATGCTTCTTACCAAGTATAATGTTTGCTGTGGAGTATTTATGAAGTTATAAATTGGTTAATTTCCAGTAGGAAGATGTAACAGTGAAATTTTAAAAAAAAAGGACTACTGCTTTATTTGTTAAATGTTTGTTCAAGTTTTATTACTCACCCATAGTCCTTACAGAACCCTTCCCTTAGCTTTAACAGACCTTTCAGTGGAAAGATACTTGATTGCTGAACAGTTACAGTTCTCCTTTTTTACAGCTATACTTGAAACCCTGGCTAACAAGATGCCGAGAAAAAAATTTGCGATTGCTTAACCTTCTAATTTGTTTTAGGTTTTTGTATTTGGCTGTTTGTATTAGGTAATACTTACAGATTTAAAAAAAGAGAAGAGCCTGGTATGGTAGCACACACCTATAATCTCAGCATTCCGGAGGCTGAGGCAGGAAGATTGCCATGCGTTTAAAGCCAGCCTGAACTACGTAATGAGACCCTGTCTCAAAAGAAAAATAAAAAAGGGAGAAATTGGTTTAGGCAGGTACTCAGAGAAATACCACATACCTCTTAAATAAAATGTTATGTATTCTTAAGTTCTACATCCTTAAGTGTGGTTGGATTGTGAACAAGAATCTTACTCAATTTATGTTTTAAAGGCATTGCAGGAAAGAAAACGGAAAATTTTGGATGAAGCTGTGGAATTAAGTCAAGATCACTTTAAAAAATACCTAGTAAAACTAAAGTCAATTAATCCACCTTGTGTGCCTTTTTTTGGTGAGTTGCTAAATATGAATATTATATTTTGAAGGTGAATGTATATATAGTATAAAGAGGTCAGTCTTTAGAGGCAGGTTTTCCTTATTTTTACCAGTTTATCTGTTTTTATTACTATTTGTATTATAAATAAAATAAACAAATCATTATTTATAAAATGAAGATAATAATTACTTAATAGAGTTGTAAGAATTAAATATCTGTAAGCATTAAATATCTGTGAGAATTAAATATCTGTACTATCTAATACCTGATCTCACATAGAGTAAGCACTCATAAAATTGTAACTATTACTATTATTCTGTGTTTATTTTGTCTTTAATTTACTAAAGATTTTAACATTCTTTTCATGTAATTATATAGGGCAGAGTTTTATAAAGTGAACTATTCTTAAATGCAGTCATGCATTGCTTAATGTTAGGTACACAATCTGAGAAAATGCATTGTTACGGGATTTTGTTATACAGACATGGCAAGAGTGTACTATCGCTGGGTGTGGTAGCTCATGCCGATAATCGCACCACTCTGGAGACTTGACAGAGGAGGAACACAAGTTCAAGCCTTAGCAACTTAGTACTATAGTGAGACCCTTGTCTCATAATTTAAAAAGGGCAGAGGATATAGCTCAGCTTGATGACCCTGAATTAAATCTTCAATACCAAAAAAAAAAAAAAAAAAGAAGCACACTAAATGTAAACCTAGGTGGTATAGGTCAGTCACTCATATATATTGCATATATATTGGTGCTACCATGAGATAAAAATGGAAGGCCTGGGAGTGCAGCTCAGTGGTATACCATGTGCTTTCAGCATGCACAAAGCCCTGGGTTCAATTCCCAGCATCAAGACAAAGCAAAACAGTACAGTGTAGCTGCTGTGTGGCATGTGGTGTTTTATGCTGTTGAGATGGGGTCTCACTTTGTTGCCCAGGCTGGTCTGTACTCCTGAGTTTGAGTGATCCTCTTGGCTCAGCTGCTGAATTACTGACACGTGACATTGTACCTAGCCTTCATTTTGGCCTCCTGGCGCATTCATCAGAGACAGTAAACACAACGATGTTTGAGCCTGCTACTGATTTGAACACAGCATACATTTTTACAGTAAATGTTTTTCTCTATAGGAAGAAAAAAGAACAATAATTTGTATAGTGAATGTCTTAGTTTTCCTTGTTGCTGAAACAAAATACCAGACACCACAAGTAAGGAAAGGTTTATTTAGTTCAAAGTTTGTAGAGATTTCAGTTCATATTGGTTGACACCAAGGCAGGGTGGCATGGCAGAGGAGAATCATAGAGGAGAAACAGTTCTTGGCAAGCAGCAAGAAATAGCAGCAGCCTTCTTTCAGTCCTTTTGTGTTCTATCCAGGCTGCTTATCCTCAGAGCAGGTAGCACTGACACTCAGAGTGGAGCAACCGTAATCCTATTATCATACCATGAATCAGTCTCAGGATCACATCTTTGATCTCAGCGTCACACACTCTAGATCTAGTACCTATGACTGCGTGAGGCTTTGGAAGGGACATCTGGGCACAAACCATAACAATGAAGTAAATGTATAAACTAGTAACATAGTCCTTATCGTTTCAAGTATTATGCAGTAGTGGCTCCTGATTGTTAGTGCTATGATTTTATACAGCTGGCAGTACAGGTTTGATTACACTAATAGCATCACAAACAAATGAATGTGTTATGCTGACTTTACAACATCTGTTATGTCACTGTGCAAAAATTTTTCAGTTCAGTGATAATTTTGTGGGAATACTGTCATATATGTGGTCTGTTGTATGTATTATATTCCCCCAGCCTCCCCAGTACTGGGGATCTGGGGATTGAACCCAGGGAAGGCTGGGCTATGTTTCAGTCCTCCTTTTGTTTTTCTTCAGTCAGACACAGAGCTTCACTAAATTGCCTGTGTTGGCCTTGAATTTGCAATTCTGAGGTGCTAGGATTATGGGCTTGCATCACCAGATTGGTGTGCTATAATTTTCTGGGATGGGCAGCAGCAGTAAGTTAGTTTACACCAATGGGAGCACACATACTTGAGTGATGTATTGTGTAGTGTTACAATAGCTACCACAACTTTTCAGCTTTATTCTAATCTTCTCTGGGGTGTTCTGTTTTGCTTTGTCTTTTTTTTTTTTTTCAATGTTTTTTTTGTCTTTTTTCGTTTTTATCGGTACCAGGGATCGAACTCACGACTGCCTGCTTGCAAGGCAGGTGCTTATGCTGCTGAGCTAAATCCCCAGCCCCTGTTTTGCTTTGTCTTGATGCTGGGAATTGAACCTAGGGCCTTGTGCATGCTGAAAGCATATGGTATACCACTGAGCCGCACTCCCAGGCCTTCCATTTTTATCTCATGGTGGCACCAATACATATGCAACGCATTATTTAAACATCATTATGTGTAGCACATGACTGTACTATTGCAATTGAGTGATTTACTTAAATCACTCAATTTAATAAAAGGAAATTATGAACCTGAGCAGGCCGTTTAACTGTCAAGGACTTACACAGGCAAGGATCTAAGGAGGAAGCAGGTTTTTCCTATTTCACTTAGAGAAAAATAAGAAGAGGATATAAATAAAGCAACTGTAGTGAAGTTCTGAATGTAGAAAATGTACTTGAGTTTGGAAATGCCAAATTAAATATCTACTTCTCCTTTCTCCTTTAGGATTAAGGGGGAAAAAAGTTATTGCGAGTCAGGAGAAATTGGGTAATTCAGTTTGAGATGGTTTTACCTGGCAGTGGGTGGAACAGCCACTCAATCTGTTTTTATATTTATGAAAAACTATGCCTCTCTCTCTCCTTCTCTCCCTTTCTCCTTCTCTCTCTGCATGGATTTCTTTGGGGGAAAAAATGTTCAGATAAAAAAAAAAGAAAAAACTGTACACTTTTCTCATTCTGCTTCTCTTTCTCTGCATGGATTTCTTTGGAAAAAAATGTTCAAATAAAAAAAAGAAAAATATACAATTATAGAGGGGTTGAAAAAAAAGTTTTTCAACCATGGCACTATTGCTATTTAGGCCGAGTGATTCTTTGTTGTGTGGGACTGAACCATGTATCACAGAACATTTAGTAACTTTCTGGCCTCCTGTATTCACTAGCTGCCAGTGCCGCTGTCTTGCTCTGATAATTGGAAATTGTCTTCAGAAAAAAAATTATGGGCTCTGAGTAAGCAATTTGTTGTGTACTTATTAAATGAAATTGCTTAAAGTTAATTTATTGATAATCAGGTAAAGATCATTGGCATTAAGTATTTGTAATCAAATATTCAATATTTAGTTAGAATAAATTTAAAATTTAGATTTCACTCACAAAGTAAGTTAGAAAGCTCAATTTGCCATTTCTTAGACTTAATACTTTAATTTTCTTATTTTGAATTCTTTCAATGTTAACAAAAATTCTGAATTGAGAATCATAAGTTCTGTGAGTCTTACCTTATCTTTTTAGGAGAATTGCTGAGGTTTATAGTATATCTTTCAGCTTTACCAGATCAGTTGTTTTCCCAATGATTGATTAAAGGCCAATTTTAAAATAATTTCTCTTTATTTTTTTCATTAGGAATATATTTAACAAATATTCTGAAGACCGAAGAAGGGAATAATGATTTTTTAAAAAAGAAAGGGAAAGAGCTAATCAATTTCAGTAAAAGGAGGAAAGTAGCTGAAATTACTGGAGAAATTCAACAGTATCAGAATCAACCTTACTGTTTACGCATAGAACTAGAAATGAGGGTAAATATTTTCTTTGCTTATCTTTAAAAGAGAACATATTACACATCATAATCACATATCGTGGTATGTATTTCATTTTGAAAATACAGTAAGTCCTCAATTTAGGAATGAGTTCCATTCTGGGAGAATTATTCATAAGTCAGATTTGTTTGTAAGCCAACTTATGAAAGTGAGTCTTACACAGTATAACCTTGAAAGTTTGCAACTTGAATGTTTGTAAATTAGGGACTTACTGTAATAAGAGTTAATAATCAGTAACAGTGTTAAATATTAGATATTTGCACTATCTGTAATCGCTTTACTATCTCAAAAGTATTTTTTCTTTGCATAGCTGGTTCAAGCAACATTTCCAAAAAGTGAATAACAAATTAGAAAGAGCTTTCTTATATCCATGCTGTGAAAAGAAAATTACTGCTAATACAGTACTAATAATATCATCATTAATAGCTGTTTTAAGTATTTTACATGAATCAGTATAACATTCAATAAGTAATCTCTTCATAAGATTAGTGTATTTAAGTAGGAAGATTAGAAAAGTGATATATATGCATAGTAGATGACTTTATAAACATTTTTCAAGAGATGATCTGTTTTGAGCATCTGTACAATAGTGGTTCAGTGATACTATAAAATGAAGGATACCTGGTAAATTGTAATACTAATGATGTTTATGTCAGTGATTCACACTATAGCATTATTTATTTGAAATTGAGAACATACGTAGTACAACTGTCTAATCAGAATGAATTTTCTTGTCACAGTAAAAATTGTGCTAAACTTCTAGATACAGTCTGTAGATTGGGGATATTAGTGAAAATAGCCACAGCCATTTTTACCTACCTCAATTTTGAGATAGTAACTGTTCTTTTATCTTAGTTAAAAAAGTTCCAAGAATGAATGACCTAACGCTCACGCTTAGGAAAATGTAGACAGATAGCCATTTTTAAGAAAATGGTGATAAGCTCCTAACTGCTGGTCACCTCTTTCATTCAACTCACCCTTTGTGACAGAGCTTCCTGAGGCTAAGGAAATGTGTTCTTAAAACTGAGATTAGAGTGCAAATATATTTCCCCAGAGAAAAATGTCATATTAGAGTTGAATACACTTGGGGTAGTATTTTTAGCATTCATATCTCAGAAACATACCTCCTCACAGATTTTTGTGATAATATAGGCTTTTTACCATCATTTAAAGCATTTTTGGTATGGGTAGGAAATGCTTCTTTTTATTATATCTAAGTAATTTGGACAAAGTAGATGGTCAGTTTTCAAACTATAATTAATAAAATGAATAGTATTTCAAAATAGGGCTATGGGTGAGCATAATCAAGAGTATAGATGTTACCTCTTTCTAAAAGTCTTTAGGATTACTGTTGGCTCATATAATTTAATTTAACTAACTTGACTATGAGAATAAATTATTTTTGTTAATAAAGTAATATAATTTTCTTGAAATTGGCAGAATGCCTGAAAAGCAAAATTTTATACTATGGATTTGAAAGCTCGTTTTGCTTATTAGTACCTATTTTTGTATTTGCTTATAAACCACCTAAATATAAATAGCAAAGTTAAATCTAGTAATGTGTTTCTAAGTATTTTTCTATAAAATTTATAGAAAAAACAAAAAATATGCAGAAGGAGTTTATTATTACAGCAAAGAATTAGAGGACTTCTGTGTGGATCATTACCTATATGGGGATTATTGAAATAAATTCTAAAATATATGTCTGATTTATCATAGAGTTAAAATTTGTACTTCATAAGAAAGCCACATAGGACTGGGGATTTAGTTCAGCGGCATGAGGACCTACCCGGCAAGTGCAGTCATGTTTTCAATCCCAGTACAAAGAAAAAAAAGGAAAGCCACGTAGAAGCAGGCTGGCTGACTATAAACAAAAGATTTAAAGCAAATATGGTGTTATTTCAGTTTTGCAGAAGAAAAGTCTGTATACTTATTTATGTGTATATATCCACACATGGGAACCATCCAGACGACTCTCCTTAAAAGGAGAGCAGCTATCTCCATTTTGAATAAACTTGGCCCCATCTCCGTGTATTGATACGTACAGAGCTGGCTGAGCTATTTCTTTATCCTTTCTATTAGCTTTAAGCAATGTGAATTGGGTTAGCTGAGGTGCTGATGTGTAATCTTTAAAGCAAGATGACAGGTCATTGTTAACCCCACCCAGGGACTCCCCAAAAATTTGATCAATCCAGGCAGGTTGGGGAGCCCTGCTCCATGCTGTCGACTGGGACTGAGCCTCAGGAAAGAGGCTATGACTTTCCAGGGCAGCAAAGATTGCACATCAGAACTAAGCACGACCCCAAATTATTAAACACTGTCTCAGTCATGTTATGCAGATTACTCTCTCCTATATATGGTTTTGCCCTCTGAGAGATGATCTCAGACCTCCTACCTAGCCCAGGTCACAGCAGTCACAGCAGTCATGTATTTCCCACCAGTCTCACTGTCACTCATCCCTAAGCTACTCCCCTCATGGAAAATTAATAAAACCTGGGTTGTGCTATGGGTGTGGCCTTTGTACCAGTGAACCACCATCTTGGCTGGACTGATGTCCCCTTGGCTCCCTATAACTGTATATGTCTTAGTGTCTTTTTTCTCTCTCGCCTTGGGTTGCATGGAAGTGGTAGATTAGAATTAACTCTCTGGAATTCTAATAACTTCTCCCTGGGATTACAAATGTAAGCCTTCCTGGACCACGAGGCCAGGAAAGGGATCTGTATACACACACATAGAAGGTACTCCAACAGCAAAATGTAAATAGCGAGGTCTCTGGTGTCTGTCTTTTTGTCTACTTGGCACTGCTGAATCATTTAAATGTTCTCCTTAAAATCTTTAAGCTTTGGAAGTGTTTTCTGGTAATTTTGATAAAAATATTTTGTTACTGGGTTGGGGATTTAGCTCAGTGGCATAAGTGCCTGCTGGCAAGCACAAGGTTACAAGTTCTATCCCCATACCAAAAAAAAAAAAAAAATTTTGTACTAGAGGCTAACAAAGATAAATTTCTATTCTTTGTATTTTTCCTTTTTAGCGGTACCGGGGATGAACTCACGACTGCCTGCTTGCAAGGCAGGCGCTTATGCCGCAGAGCTAAATCCCCAGCCCCAATTTCTAATTCCTGAAATTACTTTTGACTAGAATTTAATTCAATTTATCTCTACTTTTTTCTGATTGTCAAGATTTTATTGTGGTTTTAAACTATAATTTTGGTCCCTAAATTATAGCTTTCTAATGAGAATTATTTTGTTATAATGAGTGAGCATAAAAGGTGCAGGGGTGGGGTGGGGAGGGAGGCCATTATGATGGTGATAAAGATTTGCTCCTTTCAGTGGCATAGCACCTGCCTGGCAAGTGCAACATCCTGAGTTCAATTCCCAGTTTAAGAAAAAAAATCCATCATTCTTTATAAAACTGTAATCTAGAATATAATTTCTATAAAAGTTATATACAGTCTTATTTACAAGTGGAGAGATTAGAATATGCAATCCTTTTGAACTTTCCAAACATTGCTGTATCTTAATTTGTTAATTTTTTGTGTGAAAATTAGATCATTGTTATTAAAATTTTAAATAAAATTTATTTTACTAAGATCTAAAGTATGTCCTTATTGGTATTTAATTCCAGAGGTTCTTCGAAAATCTTAATCCCATGGGAAATTCATCTGAAAAAGAGTTTACAGATTATTTGTTCAACAAGTCACTAGAAATTGAACCCAGAAATTGTAAACAGCCACCTCGATTTGTAAGTCCATTACAATTTTGGAAATGTTTTCTGTTTTTAAAAGTATTATCATTTTCAGCTTTCTCCTTTAGCATTGTAGTATAACCAAATAGCTATTTTTAGGTGTTTTGTTTTGTAGCACTGTAATATCTATAAAATTACATATACTGTGGGGAAGATAATCAGCCTTTTGTTAAAATCTGATTTTTCCTTTATGTTGGTAATCATTTGTTTACCTGTCCATTTTTTACCTCTCCTAATATAGGAGGAGAAGGTGTTAAAAAGTGAGAGCTAAGCAGGTAGGTGGGTGGAGCAATGTTGAAAGAACTGGGAAGCCCACATATCATGGTTCTTCCGGCTTGACCCAGTCTCTGCCATTAGGGCCCCTGACCCTAGGGCTCATGGTCCATCATTGCCACTAGAACCCATCTTTCTCACTAGAATGCTTTGCTATAGTTCTTAGTTACACTACATACTTGCAGTAGCAATAGAACTAAAGGAAGATTGAGTCCTAAGTAGCTGAAAGTGGAGCGTGATACGGAAGGAAGTAAAAACATTTGTAAACATGTAAGTGGGCAGAACAGTAAAGTAAGCTGGGTAGTTTCCTTTTATCTCATTGTCACATCGGTTGTGGATAAAGATCTTATCCTTAAAGTGAAAAAACTGAGGCTCAAAAGTATTAAGTAACTTTTTAAAGAAGCTACTTACTTTGATATTGGCACAGTTGAATTTTAACTGACTCATGCTTTTTTACTGGGTTATCACTACCAGAATAGGGAAAAGTGATGGCAATTTTCACCAAAGACTTTAAATATTGTTGTAGAAGTTATCAGAAAAGGGAAAAGAAGTTTTAAAAAAAATAAAGCACATAGCATAATATGTTGCTTAATAAATTATACTTCCAGTAAATATCTGTAAAATTGACACCACTGATTTGAAAAAGCTTAGATTTCAATTGTTTTGGGAACAAAAAGTTGTTTTCACATGAATTTTCCAATATTTTATTTCTAGAGTTAGGGAAAAAAATTTGCATACATTAATTAATCCAGTTAATTCTGGAAGTTACTACTAGAATGCTGTAACATGCCCCTGCAAGTTGGAATTTTATGGCACTCTTTTAAAATGTGTGCTTGAGAATGAATAAGGTAACTTTAGGTCTTAAAACACATACACTCAAGTTAGTGTGTCAATTATGTTTGCTTTTCCTAGCCTAGGAAATCAACTTTCTCCTTAAAATCTCCTGGAATAAGGCCTAATACAGGCCGACATGGCTCTACCTCAGGCACTTTACGAGGTCATCCTACACCATTGGAAAGAGAACCATACAAGATAAGCTTTAGTCGGATTGCTGAAACTGAGCTTGAATCAACAGTGTCAGCACCAACCTCTCCAAATACGCCATCTACTCCGCCAGTTTCTGCTTCTTCAGACGTTAGTGTGTTTTTAGATGTGGATCTCAATAGTTCCTGTGGTAAGTGTTAGACGTAAACTAGTAAGAAAGAATTTTGTGTTTCAGATAATTCTTATATTTTTAGTGTTGTAGAGTCCTTTGCAAGGACTGTTAGTGTAAAAAGTGACATCTAAATGTGAAAATAGTAACTAGCATAGAGGAATAAAGGGTTATTTGTACATTGTTTATGAGTGTTTTTCTAATTTATTCACTCAAAAAAGATTTAATATTTTTTTTTTTTTGACTCCACTGCTACTCAGAAGGGCATGGTAGGAAGTGAATAAGAAAACAAGTACGTACATTTTGTGAGGAAAACTAGAAGGGAATGTGACAGAAGGGGAACCACTTACTCTAAGAAAGGAAAACTCTTTTAGGTACAAGTACCAGCTTTTAAAAAAACTAACAAAAGATGATGGTAAAATCCTGGCCATGTGTGTATTACATGTTACTTTTTGCAAAAAACTGTTGCACATTCCCTGACTTTATGAATCATTTTTCTCATTCTACTAGGCAATAATAGCATCTTTGCTCCAGTGCTCTTGCCACAATCAAGTAAGTAGAACATGAATTGATTCTAATGAAATGACTGTAAAAATAGTAATTACTTGATTAAATTAGTATTTGGATATTTTGAGGCTTAGGAAAGCAAGTTTATAATTCTAGGTATCAGAGTTAGGATTTCAGCATATCTTTTGAGGGACACAGTGCTGTGTAAGAACCAGGAATATTTATAATAAATATGAAAAGTGCTCAGACAAAATGAGAAGAACAGTAAAGATCTCTCAGTAGTGGACATGAATAGGTAGTTCATAGCAAATAAAAGACATAGAGAAACAAATGTTCAGTATGACTAAGAATCTAAAATCTACTTTCTTGTTTTATAGGGTTTTTTTGGTGCAAAAGTAGGGATTGAACACACACCCTAGCCATTTTTATTTTCTATTTTGATTCAGTTTCCCAGACTGGCTTCAGACTTTCAGGCTTCCTGCCTCAGCCTTCCAAGTAACTGGGATTACTGGTGTCTATCTTGTGCCCAGTTTTAGAAATTTTAATTATGTAATTAAATTGTCATTTAACTTAAATGTAAGTTTCCCCTCTATCAGAAAAGTTTTAATTATGAACAAGACCATGTCAATGGGTACATTACTTATCCTGTGTAAATTGGTATATTTATTATAATCTTAGAAAACACTTTGAAAATGGCATATGTCAAACCATAAAATGTTCTTTCCCTTTAGTCTAACCAGCTCAACAGAAAATTTATTACTGCTTGAGCATTCCTATCCTGAAACTCTGAGACTCTCCAGAATCAGGCACTTTTTGAGTATCGAGGTGACAGCCAGAGGTAGAAAATTCTACACCTGACCTCAGGGGATGAGTCACAGACTCACATATACATGTACACATGCATGTGTTCGAATGGGACAGTTGGCTTCACTAGGGTAAAAAGACCTTTCCTGCCTCATCAGCAGTGATACATCTTTTCTACGCATCCCAGATTCATTCCTCATGTCAACGTACCCACAAAGGGTAGTAAAGACATGAGTGCAGGCCAGAGGGACACAGTGTCAACTTCCTGTGATTTTTGTTTTAGGATTTGCTTCTTTTTTGCGCTGTGATCTAAGTATTCAGAGGAATGCTTCTGCAGGGTTTAGTTACCTTGAATACATTTTTTTCTGTATACCAATGATATGTCATAGTTTCTAGTCTTAAGTACCTATGTGTGAATAAGTGTAAGGAAATGATTGTTTATTGATTGCATATAAAAGTCAAGAATGGTGGTGATGCCAACTAAGACAAAATACTCACTACATGAAACTTAAAGGAAAGGTTTATTTTAGCTTACAGTTTCCAGAGAATTCAGTCTGTGATTTGCTGGCCGGAAGGCAGAAGTGGAATGGTAGGAGGGTGTGGTGGAGGAAAGTTGCTCACCCCAAGCCAGCAGAATGAAGGAACCAGGGACAAGCATACACCTTTCCAGGTCCCACCCCAGTGACCTGCCTCTTCCAACAACCCCACTTTCTGACAGCACAGGCAGCTCTGAACTGTCAGTGGTTTAACCCATGATAGTACAGCACTCCATCATCCAGTCTCCTTTCAGAATTTCTACATCTCAACACAAGACCTGGGGGATGAAAAGTTCCTGCCCTAATATAATTACTGTATAATTATGACAGTGGTCTAATGTGGCAGAAGGCCAAAGTGGAAATGCTTCCTGCTTCTTCAGCCCTAATTGCAGCTCCCCTTCCTGTTTGCAGGCACAGAAAATTCCAATCAGCTCCTCACATGTCATCAATATCTGCCCCCTGTATCAGAGGTCATATATCTCTCTGCCTCTCTGTATCTGGTCAGAGGAGGCAGCCCAGCCACCATGGATTGTGTGCTCCTTTCCGCATGCTCGACTCAAGAAACCTGTTCATTTTATACTTTTACTTCTCTATTGCGTCAGGATACTCTTAACAAGGGAGACAGCCTAGATCTAAATCATAATACTAAACATCCAGGGCTGGGGATTTAGCTCAGTGGCATAAGCGCCTGCCCTGCAGGCGGGCAGTCGTGAGTTCAATCCTGGTACCGATTAAAAAAAAGTGCTAATACTAAACATCCAAAAATTGTCCACATGTGTGGCTGAGATAGTGCTACCTTTCTGTTAGTTCACCATATACAAACTTCTGTTTCATATACAAAAATTATTAAAAATAGCATATAAAGTTACCTTTGGGCTATGTGTGTAAGCTATACAGGAAATACAAATGAATTTTGTGTTTAGTCTTAGGTCCTATCCCCAAGATATCTCATTATATGTATGCAAATATTCTAAAATCTGAAAACACTCCTGGCCCCAAACCTGCACTTAGTTTGTGTTAGCTACTCTGCAAAGTATGAGGAGAGGGATTCAGTGGCAAACAAGAAAGAGTCGTTGCCTGCTTATACAAAATACCTCAAAGTTTTTTAGAAAAAGTTACATGCATGTAGGCATTTGTGCGTCTTACTCTCTGGGTTCTTCTACTTCGCTGTAGCTCTTCGGTCTGTCATGCTGGTTCTTCATCTTTCCATATTATTAACGGCAGAAGGCACTAAGACCTGTTCCTGGACCTTTATTCTTCACATATGTCATCACTTAAGTGGTGATAATTTCCCAAGTTCATATCTCTAGCCAGATTCTTTCTCCTGATCTCTAGACTTTTGGTATCAGATGATCTATATGATATTCTTACTTGGCTATTTGAGAGGAATCTTAAATTTAACCTCTCTAAGGCTAAATCTTATCATTTAGTCTTCAAAGTTGTTCCTCCTACTTCCTCTTCATTTGAATTCTTATAGTACCTATGCAGTTACTAAGGAAAAATTAGACATTATGACATAATGTCTTTTTCTAACACCTCAGGTATGACCCATCAACAAATGTTGATTACCCTCAAAATATATCTAGAATTAACCATCTCTCACCATTTCTACTGCTGCCACTTTGGTCCAGACCACTGCAGTATCTTACCCTGTTTGATATGCTAGCATCCTAATTTTCACTTTCCCTACTTGCATATGTTTTCTTGCAACAGCTGGAATGATCTCATTAGACCTTGAGGCCCCTGTACATAATAAAGCTTTCCATCTTACTCAGAATACCAAGCTGAAAGTTCCTTTTTAGGGCCTTCCATCTGGTAGACTTTGTCACCCACTGTTCTCTGCTCTGTCTCACTGCCTGGGTACTCTGCATTCAGAACACAAAGGCATGTTACTGTGTCAGGACTTCTGCCTTGCCATTCCTTCTGCTTGTAATGCTCTTTGTTCATTTGACCTTACTGGTTTGTTTCCTTGCCTCCTTCTAGCATATGGTTGGTATTTCCTTAATGAGGTGAGGTCTTCCCTAATCACCCCCCTGTAAATTACTCCCCTCACACCTGTTGTTACACCTTTCCCCTACTGAATATTTCTTAGAATTTTTAGCCATCGTACTTTCACTTGTTTATTTTCTGCCCTAACCAGATTATAAGCTCCATAAGGACATGAATTCTTGCTTTGTTTTGCTTTTATCTGCCCACTGATAAGCTGCCCAGTTTGGCATTGAACTTGAGATCCTCTTTTTCTCAACCTCTTGAATGCTAGGATCGCAGTAATTCGCCACCACACCTGGCTAAAAAAAATCTCTATGTGAGTGTCCCATAAGCAGTTGTTTGCATGATTAAATTAAATCCTCAACATCTTTCCCAGCTTAACTCTATTAACCCAATCTCAGTGTAGGGATAAAGAAGACTTGATTACTACCTTTATAATTACATGACTGTGAGGGACCAGATAGGGAGTTGGACTGTAACTGCAGATTTTAGAAAGTCATATGAAAAAAGGTGAAATAGATTAAATGAAAATAATTCTTACTCTGTGTATAGTTGACCTGTCCAGGTCCCTGATGCTTTATCATTTTGTAAGTTTGCTTAAATTGGTCATATAATGTGTACTTTATCATGAAGAGACTTGCAGAGTGTTTTATGATATGGCCCTATCTTGTGGTCTCCTCTATAGAGGTTTTGTTACATATGTAATAATGTACCTGATTCTAGTTGCTTCAGAAATGCATGGTTTCTGTTTAGGATGATCTTTCTCTGGAAGTCACTACATAATATGCATAGTTTTCTTTTAGATTTTACAAAGACTTTTTGGAGAAGCAGAATCTTACTAATTTTTTTTGTTTTTAGAATCTTACTTAATCTTAAGTAAATACTGTGTTATGTCTTATTTACCTATCACACCTACCGGATATCAAGCACTGTGATCTATGTAATAGATACAAAAGTAGATACACACTGTTAAACCTTCCATAGAGTGTAGATAAACCAACAGGGAGCTATGTAACAGGTAATACAGTCTGACAAATCTCATAGTACAAGTTGCAATGAAATTTTGTTTTACAGTTGTACTGTGAATTGTGGTTAAACTAGTCTTTTCTTCCCCTAGAGTCTTTCTTCAGTTCGTGTGGTAGCTTAAATAAACTAAATGAAGAGCCACTGGTTCCTCCTCCTCTTCCTCCTCGAAAGAAGTTTGATCATGATGCTTCAAATCCTAAGGTAGTCAACTATTCTAGATTTGCCTCGAGTTATTTAAAGTTGTGAATTTTCAGAATAGAGCTCATTTTCATAAAGAACTTGTCTGATATATTTTGGCCACCCTTCATGGTTTTTTAACATTTGCATTGTTAAAAACAATACATTTGAAAAATACTTTCAGAAGTTGTCTTCATAAAAACCTTTTCTAAAAAAAGAAGGTGGGAAAATTCACAGATACTCAGAAGAACATTTTCTTTCTGGTAAAGATGGTAAGAACTTCAGTGTTATCCCTGGTACCGATAAAAAAAAAAAAAAGAAAAAGACAAAAAAATTTAAAAAAAAAAACTTGAAAATACGTTGTTTGTTAAAAAAAAAAAAAAAAGAACTTCAGTGTTTGAGGAGTCTTTATACTTTCAGCCAATCTTCTCAGATTTAATTCATGAGAATTACCCAGAAAGCTTGTTAAAGGCAGATTGTTGAACCCCACTGCAGGTTTTCTGGTTCAGTAATCTGAAATAGAATTCAAGCATTTGCTTTACTAGCAAGTTTCCTACAGGTGCTGATGCTGCTGGTCCCTGGATCACGTTTTGAGAAGCACTACTATAAGTGTTAACTGGGGAAAGCAGAAGTTGGACATTGTGTCCACTTGACATCATGTGCTTTCATGTATATAAACTGTTATTTGCACTTACCTATTACAATTAAAATTTATAAATTTCTGAAATGTATAAAACAAATTAACACAGGACAACCTGAGGCTTTACATTCTAAGATTTCAGTTAAAACATCCTATATGCAAATAATTAAAATGAGCCTGGAATTAAACTGGGAGTAATTTAAAAATTTAGTTACCAGTTAAACCATATTAATCTATTTTGAGCCTCTAGACTTAACTTGACACAAGAATTTTTCACTTCTAAAAATCGCTTCAGGGGTTGGGAATTTAGCTCAGTGGCTTAAGCACCTGCCTTGTAAGCAGATGGTTGTGCGTTTGATCCCCGGTACTGATTAAAAAGCAAAAAAATTGCTTCATGAATTTTTCAGGAAAATTTTAAGTATAATCTAATTTTTTTAGGGAACTATGAAATCAGATGATGACCCTCCTGCGATTCCACCAAGACAGCCTCCTCCTCCAAAGGTAAAACCCAGAGTTCCTGTTCCTACTGGTGCACTTGATGGGCCTCTGCATAGTCCGCCTCCACCACCGCCAAGAGATCCTCTTCCTGACACCCCTCCTCCAGTTCCCCTTCGGCCTCCAGAACACTTTATAAACTGTCCGTTTAATCTTCAGCCACCTCCACTGGGACATCTTCACAGAGACGTTAGTACGTGTCCCAATTCGCCAAGCACTCCTCCTAGCACACCCTCTCCACGGGTGCCGCGTCGATGCTATGTGCTCAGTTCGAGTCACAACAGTCTGGTTCATCCTCCAGCTCCCCCTGTTCCTCCACGGCAAAATTCAAGCCCTCATCTACCAAAACTGCCACCAAAGACTTACAAGCGGGAGCTTTCACACCCCCCGTTGTACAGACTGCCTTTGCTAGAAAATGCAGAAACTCCTCAATGACCTTGGCCATATGTAGTCATTGACACTGGAATAGTATTTGTAAAGTTTTTTAATTTATTCAAAAAAGGCATAGTATTTTAGTATTTTTACAAATAATGCTCTTAAAATGCTACTGATCAAATAAGCTTTTAAGAATTGGATAAAGAAAATATAAAAGTCCTTCACCATTATCCTCAGGTGATCAGTAGCATTACCTTGTCTTGGATCCTCTGCTGCCATAAGGCCAGTAAAATGAGTTTATATTTGCACTGTAGACTGCTGAAAATTATGGTTTAAAGTGACAGTGATTGCACTGAAAGCGGACAGTGTTTTATGGAATTTTTCAAATTAAGTAATGCCTTTTTTTAAGGTCATGAATTTACACAAGAGTAGAGGGTGTATGGTGTTACTTATTTTTAAACCTCTTTGACATCTAGTTTTTACATCTAAGAGAATTGTGAATAGCACCCACTGTTTTTAAACTCTTTAATGCCATGTCTTAAATGCCAGTATTTGCTGCTGAAGACAAAATTGAAAAATAGAATGAAGATAATAGAATGTACTGTTTATTTTGTCAAAATGTAAACAAAGACTACATAATCCAGTGACAGAGGGAAAAGAGCATGTATCTCAGATGTGCCTTTTGTTTTTGCAGAGTATAATGTCTAGCTAATGAGTTGCCTATTGTTTTGGAAAACAAGGTTAATATGCCATATATGTACAGTTTTGTTTATATTGTATATTTAAAGATAATGCTAATAACCTATATAAATTTAAGTGACTTGAGGCCTCTAATACAATCTGCTACTTTACTAATTCATAAATTCAAAGGAAAATTTCTTACGGCATAGGAACCAACTACTTTGCCTTCAAAATTCTTAGCAACTTTCTTCATAAATCTCGTGTTAACTGAAATTTTTAAAAAATATATTTTTTAGATTGGTAATATTTAAACCAGCAAATACTTAAAGCTTTATTAAACTTTTTAATCAGCGAAGTAAAGCTTTTGCCATTTGGACGCCTTCCTTCAAAGTGATGAAAAGTGTTTTGCTGATAGTGCTGTAGCAGCAGTTGTAAAGTAGCCAAAAGCCACGTTGTTTATTTACTGGTCTGTGGCCTTTTTACTGTGCTTTGTATCAGAGTTCTTAACAGATTAATAAATCACCTCAGTCTTAATTTTTACAAGACTTTTAAAATCTGTGTTTTCATTATAAGGAAAAGGGAGATGTTGAGTCTTCTAGGGAAGTATGGCTGCACACATTTTCACTATTTTATGCAACTAAAATTACATAATCCCGAAGAATTTAAGTGATGTAAATTTGGGGGGGCGGGTGGAGCGGCTGTCAAATGCATTCATCAAGTTTCCGGCAACCACTTTTATACATTCTTAAGGAAAACAAGGGACACAGCAGGAAACACTAGTAGGTTGTGAGGAGCTGCTTGTATTTAAGACTAGAAACAACTGTCAGCCTCCAAGCAAGCAAACACACTCTGGAATTTGCCTTGTTTCTTTTTTTTGTCTTTTTCCTTTTTATCGGTACCAGGGATCGAACTCACAGCTGCCTGCTTGCAAGGCCGGTGCTTATGCCGCTGAGCTAAATCCCCAGCTCCCAGAATTTGCCTTATTTCTTAAAGAGCAGATTATAATACTAGCACAGTATTGGCTGGAAACGTGATTTAAAAGTCAAGAGTGATTTACAAGAGAGCGAGGGGAAGCGATGGGCGCACCGCCTAGACAAGCAAGGGTCTAGCTGTCTTCCCGGCTTTGTTAAGGCGCGCACGCGCTGTGCCGCCCCGGCCGCTCCAGGAGGCGGGGCGCGCGGTCATGATGTCATCGTGCGCCGTCTGAAGGCCGCGCGGCGATGGCGTCTCCTCGGGAGCCTTTGGCGGAGGAGCCGGTGGAAGATCCCCTGCGGAGCTTCGTGAGAGTTTTGGAGAAACGAGATGGCACAATATTACGGCTGCAGCAGTATAGCTCCGGCGGCGTGGGTTGCGTTGTCTGGGATGCTGCCATTGTCCTTTCCAAATACCTCGAAACACCGGGGTTTTCGGGCGACGGGACCCACACGCTGAGCCAACGGTCGGTGCTGGAGCTGGGCTCGGGCACCGGGGCCGTGGGGCTCATGGCCGCTTCGCTCGGGTAAGAGCTGGCGGGAGGGCACACCGCTCTGCTGGTTTCTCACCCTGCGCTTATAGCTCAGTCTGCGTTATTTTTTAGGGCAGATGTTGTAGTCACCGATCTTGAGGAACTGCAAGACTTGCTGAAGATGAATATTAACATGAACAAGCATCTTGTCACTGGTTCTGTTCAAGCCAAGGTACTGAAATGGTTTGTATGGCCTTTCAGCTTGTTTTAAGATTAACTGTTTCTAGCTTGCTTTCATTTGCATTTTACTAAAAGCATGGTTGATACGAAGGGGTCTTTTGGTTCTTTCACAAAATGAGAGTATTTCAATTAAAACAACATTTAAAAGTGCTTGTTTGACATTTTTAAGGGGATCAGAAATAGAAGACTTTCCTTCGCCACCAGACTACATACTGATGGCTGACTGCATATATTACGAAGAGGTAAGTGTAAATGAATGAATCCTACGGCATACATTTCTTCCCATTTTAATGTCTCTGAATTCACGATGTTTATGATGTAGTTTGGGAGGTACTAGAGAGAAAAATCACTAGGGACTAAATGAGTACATTCATGATTAGCAGTGGCCTGTGAAGCATGTTGAGAAAGTACTATATTCGCTTTACTAGAGGCTTCAGTTGACTCTTGTTACGAAAAAATTATGTTAACTTATATTGGCTATTCCTAGTGAATTTGTTAACTTTGATACTGAGAAAGTTGCATTGTAAAAGAATTCATTGTTCTATGGCCACATTTACTAGATCCACGGATGATTTTTCTTTAAATATCAGTTATATACTATTGTGGGCATCACTTTTAAAATCATGAGCGTTAAACCAACTCATGTTCAAACTAAGGTCAGATTACTTTTGTAGAGTAAATTATTAAGTTAAATGTTAAATTAGATAAAAGTTAAACTTTTAAGAGTGAGGTCAGTTCTTTTCCCATGAACACTTTCAAATTCAGTCATTTGAATTTTTTTCTGGAAAGTAAAATCAATGTGATGGCTGGTTAGTTGAGAAGAGTTTACTGATCAGTAGTTACAGAAGTTTTAGCCATATGTGCTTTCTTGAATTGATTCAAAGATGAATAAATTATAGGGAAGATAATCCCCCCAAAGTGTTCTATAATGGAAAATTTTTAAAGTTGTAGATAATATATTTCTTTCTAAATTTAGTCTTTAGAGCCACTGCTGAAAACTCTGAAAGATCTCAGTGGATCTGAAACTTGTATTATATGTTGCTATGAACAGCGTACAATGGGAAAAAATCCAGAAATTGAAAAAAAGTATTTTGAGGTAAGTACTGTATGAGATCTTTGTGGTGGCCATTATTCAAGGAGACTATGTGACTGTTGTATTTTGTGTCAGTTTTGGAAGGGGAACACAATTCAGTTTGTCTACACCCAAGGAGAGAAACGTTCCTTTACAAACCACCCTTCTACAGACACCCCCTTTGTATAAATATGTTTTTTGGTCCTTCATTTCTCTTTTCTAATTCAGTGAAATTGTATCTGCAAAACAATATAAAATAACAGTGACAGTCTTTCTTGGTGATGTTTTTAATCCTTATTAATATAATAAAGTGGGGATTTGGGAACATATCAGTGATAAGATATATTGCTTTTAGAGACTAGATGGTACAAATGTGGAGGCAGTAAGTTTTTAAAACTCATCATTTGATGAAACTTTTTCCTATGTACCTATTTTCAGGGTCTTTTTGAAAAATAAAGATTCACAGGCAGTTGCAAAGGTTGCATGTAGTACCTTATGTATCTTTTACCCTTTTTCACCAGTGTGAGCTAGACTTTATGTGAGTATGGGAGCTGGGAGGCTCCCCTTGAATGCACATCAGTTGCTTCAGCATTAAACTGAACCCTGTCCTTGTGTACTGATGTGTACAGACCTGGCTATGCTATTTCCTCCTCTCTTCTGTTGGCTCTAAGCAGAGCAGATAAGACTAACTGAGATACTGATACCTAACTAATCCTTGAAGCCAGCTGACAATTTCCTGACAGTTTTCTGGTTCCTCACATTGTGTTTCCCTATAGTTGAGCACAGCAGGATGGCATAGCCACATAGCTCCAGAAATGTCAACTGGATTCAAGACACAAGAGGCTATGACTTCGTGGGGCACAAAAGTTTACATATCAGAAACTGAAGCAACAGCCTCCCAAATCATTCAAATGTTCCCTCAGTCAAGTTATGCAGATTGATTTTTCTGCATATTCTTCTCCCTGCATATTGCAGAGGTGCCTTCTCCACTGGCCAGCTCAGCTTATATTACTCATGTAATTCTTGCCATATTCACCATCACTCATCCTTAAGCCACTCCCTTCTTCACGAATTGATAAATGCTGGGTGATGCCTTGGATCTAGGCTTTTGTTCTGTATCCATACATGGACTGGACTTGGGACCACTTGGCTGCCCATAACTTTGAATATGTCTTAGTGTCTTTATTCTTGCTGTAGATTGTGCTGGAGGCAGTAGATTGGAATTAGCTTGTCAGGATTCCAATGGTTCAGTGAGATTACAGATATAAAATTTCTCAACCCGTGAGGAGGATGAGAAAATGGATTACAATATTTGGATTGCAGTAGCTGGGGATGTAGCTAGGTGGCACAGAATCTGCCTGGCAAGCCTCAAGGTCTTGAGTTTGCTTCCCAGTATCCCCACCCCCACCACCAGCACCAAAAAAGGGCTCTGTTGGGCACTCCAAAAGCTGATCTTTAGATCAAGGCCATGACTGCATTACAAACAAGGACAACCTTTCTATACTTAATTTTAACCCTTTACCTTCACACTGTTTTCCGTGGACTATGCTAATTTTCCTTTCCACTAATAATGTAAGGACTCCTTTTTCGCTACATCCTTTCTGGTATTTGTTATTCTATAGTTACCATAGCCATTTTGACTAGGTTGAAATAGACTCAGTATCGGATGTGCATTTCCCCAATGGTCAAAGATTGAGCATTTTTCATGTATTTATTGGCTATCTGTACTTCTTTTGGGAAGAGCATTCATAGCATGTAGCCATTTTTGATTGGATTATTCTTCCATTGTGGGTTTTTTTTAAGTTCTTTACATATTCTGATTTTTAATCTGCTGGCAGTCTTTCTACCATTCTGTAGGTTGCCTCTCTGTCGATGTCCGCTCCCGGCCGGCAGGAAGGACACACGACAAAGTCTGGTAGTGGACAACCTTTTCTTTTTATTTTCCTTCTCCGTACAGCCTGCCCTGGGTTCTCCCAGCTGAAGCCTCCTCTGGTCCGCTCCCCGCGGCTCCTTTTGTGCTTCAGTCTGCCCCAAAGCCTCTACCGGTCCGCTCTCCGCGGCTCCTTTTGGGCTTCTACTTCCGGGCTTCTATCTGGCTTCTTCTTCCGCCCAGGGGTGGCACCGGTATATATACGGGTACAGTGTCCAATCATGTTAAAGTAAGCAAGGCAAGCTGATTGGCTAACATCATCAGTTGCCAGGCAGACTATATTGTTGAGCGGGTTGTTTACGCGGTAAGCAGGAAACTAACATATTCGATGGGAGGGGTAATCTACCTCAGGCTTTGCTCTTTACCACAGGCCGCACGTCCGCCGCGCAAGGCGAGCTATCACAGACGCGGCTCCCAACATCTCCCCCTATTTTATTTTTTATGAATGTGCGCATCGTAGCCCTTCCTGGACTGGGTGCAGAGGCTTATGCCCTATGTGTAGGCCCACCGTAGGTCCTTGGCTTAGACCCTGGTTGGCCATGCCATGGTCTGCCAAGGCCCTGAGGCCCTCGTCCTTTTTCTAGGGCCAGGCACAAACTGGACGGAACCTGGATGCACACAAGCTTGCACTCATTTCCTCTCCGTAAAGAAATCCCCTCGGAGAGAAATTTAGACCTGGGCAGCATCTAACAGTCCAGCGGCTTACGTGCAGGATGGGGTAGGGCCTGGCTTAGGTCGAGTCGTGCTGGGGAGGCACGCTCTTACCCGTCATTGACTCACCTACCTGCTGTGTATTGTCACCTTATGGAGGAGAATGAGGGATGCCCGCCATATCTAGACTCGGTCGTGGGCCAATTGAGCAAGCCATGCATATGCCTGAGGATCTTCTTGTCCATTTCGGGCTACCGCTATTTCTATTCATCTTATTGGTTGGTCTGTGATGGATCTCCAGTAGGGCAGGTCTGATCTTCAGTCGAGGGCTTTGTTGCCCGTGTCAGTCTCTCCGGTATCCACAGTGGTTCTCGTCCCGGTTCCTGTGGGAAAACACAAACCGCGCCTCGGTTCCAGCTGACCACTGGATCCGGGCCCATCCATTGTCCCGTCAGGACATCTTTCCACTTCACCCACCCTTTATGGTTGGGGGAAGGGTTGCAGTGCTCCACAGCTGGGGAGCGATTATCATTATTTAAATTTAAAAAATTGTGTGTGAATAGTGCCATGGATAATCGTGCCTTTGGAGGCAGGCCTTGGCTTACTCCCCCTTTTTGTTTTTTATTTTTTATTTTTTATTTTTATCTTTTTCTTTTTTTTTTTTTTTTTTTTTTATTGGTACCAGGGATCGAACTCATGATTGCCTGCTTGCAAGGCAGGTGCTTATGCCGCTGAGCTAAATCTCCAGGCCCCGTTTCCTCGACCGGCGTTTTTCTCAGCCTGCTTGGCAGAGTAGCCGCCCATGAAAATCATAGGACGGCGGTCGCGACAGAGTGGAACGGGGCGTCACTTCCTGTGCCGGCTGAGAGAAGGGAGGGTTCCCTGTAGCGGCCTCTCGGTGGGGAGCCGCTTCTGGAGAAGAGCTCCAGGGCGGAGCGGATGGCTCTCTATCTCCTCCCCGCCAGAGAGCGCCGGGGAACTGGGTCTGGTCATCAGCGTGCCGACCTTCTCCCATAAGCATTTCCTTGTTCCACCCCCAGTTTCCCCGATTGGCGTTTCTCTCAGCCTGCTCTGCAGAGAACTCTGCGTACCAGGCTCGCCAATCCAGGTAACTGCCCGAGGGCAGACACGCCTTTGTCAGCTGAATCCAGTCCGCGGGGGCGAGGGGCCCAGAAGACAGATTCTCCAGCATGGCAATGGTGTAAGGCGCAGTCGGCCCAAAGGTTGTAACTGCATTTTTAAGTTTTCTAATCTGCTTTATCTCAAAAGGCTCCCATACATTGCGTCCCTGGCCCATAGCTACTTGTACAGGAAATATCCCGTAGGGGCCACTATCTATCCCAGGTGGATGTACCTCATGAGACAAGCGTCCCCCCTGCCAAAGCCGCCTGTAAAAATACCGACCCGCCGGCGGCGGAGCATAAGACAGCGGCCGTGATTGGGCGGAAAATGGGGGCCCGTGCATCACTTCCTGTTCTGGCGAAAGGGGAGAGAGCTCCCAGGCGGCCGCCTCGTGGCGAGGAATCGCCTCCCTCTCGCGCCGGGGAGCGCTCAGGAGCTCTCTACTCCTCCGCAGACCAGGTTGAGCAGAGCGCAATTCGCGGGGCAACGCTGGAAAAGAACCCTGCGACTCCTTATTGAGCGACTTAGGCTCCTGACAGCTGGTCTCTTTGGCCTCCTTGCCATTCAACTTTCCCTCGTCCTCGGAGTCAGACGACTCCGAGGCTAGAGCCCCGTCCTCCTCCTTAGCATCCTTGTTCCCCTTGACGGACCCCTCTCGGGAGCTCCCTGACTGGGCCTGCTCAGATACCCTGCGTACTTTTGTAAGCTCTTGAGAGCTTTCTCCACAACCACCCTCGCTCTTAGTGTTGCTACCTAACATGTTTCCCATCTTTTAATATGTTACTCACCGCGTGAGGCCCAAGGAATCCGCCACTTACGCGTGAGCCTGAGGGGAGTCTAAAAGCCCTGTAGGTGCGCGCCACCCAGAGCCCAGGCTTATCCCCAACTCACCTGTCTCGCAGCTCTGTACTGGAGCGTTGTCCACTTCCACGTCTCGGGGGTGATCAGTCCCCGGGCGGGCCTCCAAATGTCGATGTCCGCTCCCGGCCGGCAGGAAGGACACACGACAAAGTCTGGTAGTGGACAACCTTTTCTTTTTATTTTCCTTCTCCGTACAGCCTGCCCTGGGTTCTCCCAGCTGAAGCCTCCTCTGGTCCGCTCCCCGCGGCTCCTTTTGTGCTTCAGTCTGCCCCAAAGCCTCTACCGGTCCGCTCTCCGCGGCTCCTTTTGGGCTTCTACTTCCGGGCTTCTATCTGGCTTCTTCTTCCGGCCAGGGGTGGCACCGGTATATATACGGGTACAGTGTCCAATCATGTTAAAGTAAGCAAGGCAAGCTGATTGGCTAACATCATCAGTTGCCAGGCAGACTATATTGTTGAGCGGGTTGTTTACGCGGTAAGCAGGAAACTAACATATTCGATGGGAGGGGTAATCTACCTCAGGCTTTGCTCTTTACCACAGGCCGCACGTCCGCCGCGCAAGGCGAGCTATCACAGACGCGGCTCCCAACACCTCTCCACTCTGTTGTTTCCTTTGTTGTGTGGAAGCTTTTTAGTTTCACGTTATCATTCTTCATTTGTTTATCTTTCCTGATTGCTTTGGCCAAAATTTCAAATACTGTATTGAATAAGAATGGTAAGAGAGGACACACTTGTCTTGTTTCTGATTTTAGAGGAGATGCTTTCAGTTTTTCCTTATTTGTATGGTATTGGCTATGGATTTGGTAATGTAACTGTTCTTATATTGACGTATGATCCTTCTGTACCTGTTCATAGCTTTTATCATAAAGACATGTTGAATTTAGGATGGGGGATATAGCTTAGTGGCACAGCACCTGCCTGGCAAGCTCAAGATCCTGAGTTTGATTCCTGGTGCCAAATAAAAAAAGAGAGAAAGAGAGATGTTGAATTTTATCCAAGGCTTTTTTTAATCTATTGAGATGTTCATGTAATTTTTTTATTGATTATTTTCTGTATTATGTTTATTGATTTGCACATTGTCTTTTCTCTTGTTGCTGAGGCGAAATACTCAACACTCAGAGTTAAAGGGGAAAAGGTTTAGCTCAGTGTAGAGGTTTCAGTCCATAATCAGCTGGCTCCAAGGCAGGGTGGCACCTGGCAGACAGGCATCACAGAGGAGACAGTTAATGGCAGGCAGCAGGTAACAAAAAGGTCAATCACAACTCTTTCTATCTCTTACAGCTTATCCAGGCCACCCACTCTTAGGGCAAGTAGCACTCACCTCCTTAGTCCTAGTGCCATCAGTCCTAGCATTGCACCATAAATCAATTCCATCATCACATGCTAGAGCCACCTCTGAAAAATCCCCACCAATGACCACATGAGGCTCTGGAGAGACCTCTAAAACACAAGCCATAACACATGTTGAACCATACTTGCATGGTTACATCATTTCTTTCTTAAATATGAAGAATGTCATTGAACTTTTGAATGAAATTGATAGAGACTGGCAAGGACAGTACTAGGCATTAAACCTAAAACCTCTGCACTGGGCTATATCCACACCCTTTTAAATTTTTTTAAAAATTTTATAGTCTAAGTTGCAAAGTCATCTAGGTTGGGCTTAAACTCTAGATTCTTCTGCTTCTGCTTTCCAGAGTGTTGGGATTCTATAGGCCTGTGCCACCACACTGGTTTGAAATTTTTGTATTGGTAAGCAATGTTTATTTTATTTATTTATTTTCAATTTTTTTTTTGTACTGAGAATCAAACTCTATGACCTCATGCTTGCCGGGCAGACGCCATGATGCTCAGCTGATTCCCCAGCTATAGCAATGTTTACTGAGGTAAAACATGTAAAAAGTACATGCATTAAGTGCTTAACTCAAATTTTCATGTGTATGTATGTGTGTGTGTGTGTGGGGGGGGACTATTCCTCAACATAAAGATGTGGAACATTTTCAAGATCTCAGAATTCCTCCACATTGCCCTTTCCAGTTAGTACTGCATTAGAGGTAACCACCATTGCAATTTATGTCACCACAGGTTAGTTCATGTTACTGAGTTTGAAGTATATTTCTTTTAAATTTGTAGCTTCTTCAGCTAGACTTTGACTTTGAAAAAATTCCTTTGGAAAAACATGATGAAGAGTATCGAAGTGAAGATATTCATATTGTATACATCAGAAAGAAAAAATCAGTAAGTACATTCCAGGTTCTTGATCCTCTGAGATTTCATCACCTGGTCATTGTCTCTGGGCTTAATGTGGTCAGGGTCTTGATTTTGATGCAGTAAAATGACTTAGATAATTCATTGGGTTCAGGTCCAAATACTTACTATTAACATCACTTAATCTTACTTGCTTTGTGTTCTTATTGTAAAGTATATAGACTTTTTGTTTGTGTAGCGCTGGGTTCTGAACACAGGGCTTTGCACACACTAGGCAAGTGCTCTGCCACTCAGCTAAGCCCTCAGGTTGGCAGGTTTCTGATGCAATAATCCTTTCAGCTGTGAATATACAGCTTTGTACTTAGATGTATTAGCATTTGTTGTATTACAGTAACTGAGATAGTCAACTTAAAAAGAGGAAAGGTTTGTTTTGGCTCATGATATTAGCTCTATTGCATGATTGATTGGCTCTATTTTGGTGCCTGTAGTATGGTACTTTCTGGTGTGATCATTGTTGGAGGTTAGCTGAAAACGAAGAGGAGGGAGCAGGATCCTGCTATCCCCTGAGGGAACCCCAGTGACCAGAAGGCCTCCCATTAACCAGGCTTCACCTTAGGTTTCTACCACTTTGCAATAGTGCCTTGTGCCAGAAATGAAGTTTTCAATACATGGGCTTGTGGGGGACACTTGGCAGCATCACCAGACAAGTGACTTAGCTCTGAGTTTCCCTTATCTACTTGAGACTTCAAAATGTCAGCTGAAAACCTTTGTGAACTTTGCCCAGTGTTAATGGATTGAAAACTAGTGGTCAGCTTAACATCAGCTGAATTAAATCAGTATGGTGCTGAGCATAGATTTCCACCTGTGCAAAGTTGCCAGCATAAAAGAGATGGAGAAGACAAGGGAGGTATTGTGGGTTTCTCTTAAGTGCTGCTGTTCTGATCCGCTGGTTCTCCTGGAGGAGCTCGTCGTGACTTGCTTCCCCAGTGTGAATTTGACCATTGTCATTGGAGGAGCATAGGACCTTGTTGGTGAGAGTGGCTGTGGTTCACTTTGGGGGAGCTCTGGTCCTTACATCGAGCGTCGCTTCCTGGCTACAGAGGGGAAGACGAGTGTTGTTTAATCTCCAGGAGAAACTTGTCACGCTGGCTTTCTGGCAGGTACTTGACTGTTTTTCTCATCAGAGGAGCTTGGGGCCTCCGTGTCGCTGAGGATGGCTGTAGTGCTTTTCAGAACAACCCTGCTCTTATTTTGAGCATGACTTGTCAGCTGCAGTGTAGCACCCTCATTCCACCAGCACAGCTCCTTCACCCCGCTGGCATAGACTTTCCAGCTTCCACCGCTGACCTTTGGGCCTTCCCAGTGTGGATCCCTAAAACAGACTGGTGTGAGTCATTCACATGGGCTCTAGACCTGCAGTTGGATTTGTGGAAGGCATTTTCATGGGTTCTGGGTCTTCATCTGGACTCATGCAGGACATTGCTGTGGGATCCAGGCCCTTGGCTGAATATTCTGGATTTTTAGTATTGTGCACAGACTTTCTGCACTTTCTGTGTTTAATTTTGGGTGACCATCATAAAATAATACTATAAATTCTGTGCCTGATTCTAATTGTTCTCACAGCCCCTGACTAACACCCAGTCATTCAAAGAAAAGAAAATTTTAATCAAGTATAACCATGGATATGTATAGATCTGTCCATAAGAAAAGTACACTCAATTGAATAGAATTTTTATGTATGTTCTCCTTTCATGCTGCTGCTTAATCACAGTTTATACAAGTTGCCATCTGTGACACCTGGTTAGATGTCACTCAGTTTGTGTGCCCAGCACCTTTGTAAACATGATTGGTTTAAGGCAGAGACATACGAATTTTATGAATCAACAATACTAAGACTTAGTAATCCTCATTTATTTCTATTTGCTTTGATTCTTTTTTGTTCCAAATGAAGTTTCCTACTTAGGTGAATTGTAGTCAAAGCAAATGCAACTTATTTAGGGAACAAGAGTAGTGTTAGGACCAAATCTAGGAAAAGAAATTAGGATTAGTAACTCAAAGAAACTTAACATTTATGTGGTATGTTGCTAGATATAAAGAAAAAGTTTCATATATTTTTTAAAAATGTATTTTAAAGAGGGTAAAACAAAACAGAACAGAATAGAACAAAGCAGATTAGAAGAAAGCAATGTAAGTGACACAGATTTCAAAGCAAGACAACAGGAGATCAGCAGTGGCTACCATAATGTCTCTTGTTTTCGTCTAAATAGTTGTCCATATCTTCACACATAATGAATTCATACACAACAAAATAGTATAAAACTGATCAAACAAAAGTAACGAAGGCATTACAGGCCTTCAAAACCAGACTATGGGAAAATCAATAATGGCCACCATGACTCTTGTTCTCTTCAAAATAGCTGTCCATGCCTTCATGTATGATGAAATTAAATAATACAAAGGAATCAAGTTTTAGCTGAAACTGGTGTGCAATTTGAAAAGTAGATTTTTTTTTTTTTTGTACCTGGGATTGAACTCACAACTGCACATTTACAAGGCAGGCGTTTATACAGCTGAGCTAAATGCCCAGCCCATAAATAGAATGTTTTTGAAACAAGGATTTTATGTTTCTAGATATCAAGCCCTCTTTTTAAAAATTGTTACAATTCATGTACCATAAAATTCATCCCTTTAAATCATACAAATTGGTGCTTTTTAGTAATATTCAGAGTTACATAAACCATTACCAGTTTCTAATTTTAAATGTGTTCATTTCTAAAGAAACCCATAGCAATTAGCAGTCCCTCTTTAGTTACTGGCAATCATTCATGGCTGACGCTGTGAGGTTGCCTGTTCTGCACATGTCATGTACATGGCGTAGCATATTATGTGGTTGCTTTTCCTGCTTTCTTTCACGGAGTTTCCATATCATAGCATGCTGCTACCTTTTGCTTCTTTGTGTGGAGATACATATATATTCCATCCATTCACTGTTCACTTTCTGGCCATGATGACTAATACTGCTGTGAACATTCATAAAGAAGTTCTTTGTATAAATACGTTTTCAGATCTCTTAGGTATACACCTAGAGTGGTTATTGTCCTACTTTTCTTGTTGCTGAGACAAAAATTCCTGATACCCGAAATTAAAGAAGAGGAGGTTTCAGTTAGAGTTGGCTGGTTCGAAGACAGGGTGGTGTGGCAGAGGAGAAATAGATCATGGCAGACAGAAGACAGCAAAAGCAAGCAAGAAGCCACAAGCTACAATAACAGTTTCTTTCTGCCCCTTTTATAATCGTTACGCTAGCTGGCCTACGGGAGGTTCCAAACCAATCTGGACTATTTTAGTAATCACACAGCCTTAATCTAGCATCACGTGCACTAGGTCCAGCCGTTCTGAAAAAGCTGCGCCTAAGATTACATGTAGACACAAACCATAGCAGTTACGTAGAACTGTGTGAGGAGTGTGTTCCAGAGGTACTGTATACCAGTGACGGTGAGCCCTTTAAAGCTTTCAGTGATAACAGCTGGCTGTGGCATGCGTGCCATAGATTCACCACCACTGTACTATACCGTTTCGCACTTCCCACAAAGTAATACATAAGGGTTCTAGTGTCTCATGTCCTTAGCAACAGTTGCTATTATCTGCCATTTTGACTATAGCCATCTTAGTGGATGTGATATAGTATCTCATTGTGGTTTTTATTCTCATTTTCCTCATAATTAATGATGTTGAATATCTTGTGTCTCTAGAGAAATGTTTTCCCCATTTACAAATTGAATTATTTGTCTTTTTACTGTTGAGTTTAAGAGGTCTTTACACACCTTGGATACTAGACACCAGATGAATGATTTGCATATACATTCATTTTGGGGTTGTCTTTATTTTTTGATAGTATATCTTCCATAGCGTAAAGGTCTGTAATGTTAATAATGTCTAATGTATCTGTTTCTCCTTGGTTGGCTGTGGTTTGGGTGTCTGCTGAGAACTATCTATAAACATTAGACATGGTGGTCCACTTGATTGTGTTACCCATTACTGCTCATCTTACCGAGTACTAAGTACCCAGAAGGTACTTAGTTGGTGAGGAGAAATCATTTATTTGTATCGCTTGTTTTCTTACAGAAATTGCCATCATGAGAACTTCAGCTGTCTTACCCAAGCCTTTGCCAGTATGGGTAAGCTAGCGATGGGAATGCAGCATGGGAATGCGGCATGGAAAGACTGTTCACAGACTTTTCCAGCATGTCCTTAGAGACCTGATATGTGATGACAACCACTCTGGGCCGCCTGCACTATGAAAAATACTGTCTGCCTGCCATTGGGCCTGAAATCCAACTTGTTTTCTTAGCTGACCGTCAAGTTCCTCTTAAAAGAAACACTGAGAATGCGTCCCTCAGAATTGGTATTGAGGTTCTTTGAAGTCTCCCAATAAGTTAAGCAACATGGTTAATACAGCACGTTTCCAGGCTACTGAAGGTTCTCATGGTTTAAATTCAGACCAGTACGTTTTAGTTCCTTCAAGATAGGATAAATTTAAAAGGCTTAACTTTACATAATTATAAGTAGTTTTATCTTCTGTTTCATATATCTTTAATACCTAAATGTTCTTTTCCTGAAAAAAAAAACCTGAGACTGTTGTCTTGTGTTCCTGTATTAGCCAAAGTTTTATTTTTGCCCTCCACCATAGGTGTGTGAATGGTTTCCATAGTAAATGATAAACAGTTACTAAAAAGACTTCAAGAGATGAGGGGACAAGGGGTACTGTGTCTCTGCCTGATCTCCTCTTGGGGGTGGAGGGAATACCACGCCCAGTACAAGGTTGGTGCACTTCTGTAGCTCACGCAGTTTTCCTTGTGTATGTATTCAGGAAAGTAGTTTAAAGACATTAGTATTAGGTTAACTTGTTTGAAAGATCGTTAAATAACTACAAATGTAATTCCATGCACATTTACCCAGGGATGGTTCTCCTGTGTTGTCTTTTGTTACGATAATCATCTGTCTGCATAGACTAAGCTTCAAGGACTTCTCATCACAGCTGCTCCAGATAGGAACCAGAGGGAATCCTGGTATTCACAGGCACTCAGTGCTGGGTGGCACATTTTATGTGTTAAAATAAACATTGTTTTTAAGACCTTGTGACTTGGTGACTCTTTCAGAAGTAGCTTGGGAGAAAATGAACATTCTGAAGCCAGTGACTGCTCTTCAGAAAGAGGAAAAACATCCCTGTTTAGTGACTTTGAGGGTCAAAGTTGGAGAATAGTTTTTTCCTTTCAGGCTCACTTACATCTTTAGTTTGCTGTGCTGTTCTTTTTCAAATAGTGTATTCCTATCACCCTAGCATTTCATTAAGCAGTGTCCCCACGAAGTTAGTGTAATTTAAATGTGTGAAGCTTTGGTAGTTATTAGCCATAGCCATGAGATCTAAGGACAAGTGACCACTTTCTGGCTGCCTCCGTAACATTATAAAACCTGCTTTAAAATAGTAAGTTTGACATTGACTGTAGTAGTTCCCTGAGATTCTCACATCCTTTTATGCCCTCCTCTCCCTTCACTTACCATTAGTGCCTGTGGGTTTCAGCCCCTAGATTTACCTTGTGAAAGCCCAGCGTCTTTACTCCAGACATGATGACAGAGGCTGGCTTCAATTTCCATGTGTCTTTGCTGTCACAGCCTTCTCGTGCATAGCTGTGTAACAAAGCTAAGAGATTCTTCTCCCCTGCTGTATAGTAACTCCGGACACTGAAGACCCCTGGTAGGACCAGAGGAGCCTGCTCTGTAGGAGTGCGCTCCCACAGTTAGGCAGACAGCGAGGGATGCTGGGAGGGCTCTTCTTCACAGGAGCGCTGTTGGGAGTGGGGTTTAGTTTGTTGAGTGAGGGAATAATTGCTCTACACACCAGAAACCACAGTAGGAAGCCTGGGTGCTCACAGCGGTCAAGGTCAAGATGCTGGTACGAAGGTTAGACCAGTTTATCTGCACCCGGGTGGATTTGTCTGCACAGCAGGTGAACTGGGTGTGGAAGAAGACTTGGAGGAGTGAAGTGGACACTGAGGCAGAGGACAGCTGATAGGAGTTGGCTGAAACACTTAGGCAACAATGTGGGGCGAGCGATGGAAAGGCAGATGTGTGAGATACAACCCAGGAGCACGTTGGAGTGCACGTATGCGCATTACATTATGCTTAGAACGCGCCGCATCAGTTAAAGTCTTGCAGCGTCCCAGAAGGCGATGCTTCTCAAGCCAGGCTCACTTGAGGTCACCTGGAGCATTGACCGCAAGAAAAGGCCATTGTCAGTCCCCATCCAGCTAAGTGTCTGAGACTTGGTATCAAGGACTTGAGGCAGTGACGTTTAAATTGAAAACCCCTTGGGCAGAACAGACAGAAGGGAATTGCAGTATATGTTAAAATCGTCTCATAATTAGAGCGGATCAAGGCTGCATAAAGAAGGGAAACTTGTGGAACGCTCTGAAATAGCTAAAAGGAACAGCACTGAGTTTTAGAACCTGAGGTAGACATTAAAATACTGTACCTGGAAATTTAGAGAATCGGAGGAAGGGAAGATTTAACTGCTGAAAAAGGAAACTTGCAGGTTTTGCCTCCATGAGTTGAAACTCCTCTGTATACGAGCTGTAAATATTTTTGAGGTTGCATAGCTTTATGTCTTAATTCTTAGCCAGGGGTCTTGGATCATGTATCTGGTGAATTTGGAGGTAAAGTCAGGCTAATTTTAATTATTTTAGTAAATACAGAGTGTTAACAATGTAGAGTGTTAGTGGGCATTTTATACTTAGATGTTTTCAATTTGTTGTTTTGGTTTTTTGGTACTGGGGATCGAACTCAAGACCTTGTGCTTGATAGGCAGGCACTTCTGCTGCTGAGCTAAATCCTCTGTGCATGTTTTCAGTGTTTTACCCTTGAAATTTTCCTTATCAATAATAGATATATTAATTCAGATTTCTGATGTTCAAAGAAAAATTCATAGAAATTTAACTGTTGTTCTGAAGGTTTCCTGTAGGTGGCATTACTTGACTTTGTTGTTAAATAGTTTATAGCAGAGAAGTTGTGAAGTAGAATCTATTTTGAGTTGCAATCACACTTGCATTTTTTAAGGTAAATTAAACTTGAATTTAAAAAATAATCATATTATTTCCTTTTAGACGATGGTGTGATGGGAGTAAAATGATCATTTGCTTAGTGGTATTTGGTTTATTTTCTATGTCATTATTATGTACTTTTTGAATGTCATTCATAAAGCCACATAATCTGCAATTTAAAAAATATCATATCTGCTGTTGATATCTTCTGTGACAGGGAGGCACTTACAAAATTAAATGCATTTAAGTGAAGCTCTGAAAATTCACCTTGAAAGTACTTTTACATAATGTGTAGTTTTACATCTGAGATGCTTGAAACTTCTAATTAATTTTAATTAGTTTTTCAAACCAGTGTTCCTTCCTCATTAGAGTAGTAGTTCTTACATCAAAAGACTGAAGCTCTGTCTTTGGCTTGGCACAATCTTGTAATCTTAGGTCAGCTATTTGGCTTTCAGTTTTTGTTTGTTTTTCCTCAAGAAACACTGGGATTTGGCTTTGATTCATCGATAACACATGTAAAAGTTAGAATGTTCAATTTTCATACCAGAGATACCTAATACATGCATAGAAAAAATTGTGGCAAAGAAGTCTTGATGAAAAGTAAGCAAAACTTTTGAATTTCATACTTTGAATGGAAAAGCAGTAAATTCTCAAACTGTCTTCCCAGATTTATAAGTTCAAACTGCTATGTGTTTGGGGTCTTTTTAAGTTTTATGTATTGGTAACATTCTGTGACTCTTCTGCGTCGAGAGTCCCCAACAATTAGGAGATTCATTCTAAGTCATGACTATTAATAGCAAGATGTCACAGTTTGCAGATAATAGCCTGAGAAATGGAGCAGGCTGTCTGCATGAAAGCAATTTTCTCATGTGTCTTCTGACAACTGTATGGCAGAGGAGAGGCCCGGGAGCAGAGTATCTGGATTTGCGCCCGTGCTTACTAGCTTTGTGACTTGAAGTTACTCTCTCCGTGCTTCATTTTCCTTATACGTAAGTTGAGGATCATAGTGGTGTCTACCTCATAGGTTGCTATGGGAATTAACTTAGCTTAAAATATGTAGCATACTTCAGGTGTCTGGCACAGGGTAACTGTTCAATCATGTGCCTGGGGTGGGACTGGAATCCAGGCGGGGACCTGCAAAGTGTGCATGATAATGCCAGTCAGCCTTATCTGTCGCCCTGTGAAATCTGGACATCCTTTTAGGGCAGAGGATGTTGTGACCTTCCGCTTCTGTCATAGTGAGAGGGGCAGCTGTATGGGAGAAGTCAAGAACTTTGCTCCACAGTGCTGCTACTTGAACAAGTCAGCAAATATTGAAGAGAAAAATACGGTGGAGGAAAAGTCTTTGTTGTTCATTTTTACAGTTCTACAGGAAGTACTGTGAGTATTTGCAGGCCAGTAGGGCCAGAGGATGTCCTGGGTTCGCTGGCTGGAGCTTCGAACATTCCCATGCTATGCAATAGTCAATTCTTCCTTGGACGGTTCTGCTAGACCTGAGAGCATTTACGTAACAGGTAAAGAACAGCACAAAGTCATTTCTCTAAGGTCTGGGACTGTCCTGTATCTGCCTGATGATATCATCAGAGTTTAGAGCTGTTAATCTCAAGTTAGAATTTGGCGGCAGTAGCTTCACAGACTGATCTGTGCTGTGTACTGAGTACCCGTGGCGGGATGCCGGGGGGCCCACCTCAATCCTCAGGCTACGTGGTTGCGTCCTTATCACCAGTCAGAAGAAAACCTTGGCTTAATTTTGCTGCTCCGTCAGCTGGTGTATAAAGTGCCACACATGCTTTTCTGGCTCGCATTAAACTTTCAAGCTGGCAGGAAAGATTGGTGCGAATACCCAACTGTTGGTCTTCACTTTTAGAAACCTTTCTCATCTATGAACTAATTTTCAAGAAAAATCAATTTGCTTTTTTTTATCCACATGATTATAAACATTCTTCCTTATACAGCAAGATTAAAAACATTGAGAAAGGCCCAGCCTAGACACAGCTCTTGTAGATGTAAGTGTGTGAGTAGTTAGCAAATTCCAGGTTATGAGCTCTAATGAGGTTCCACTGTTAAACTCCTGATGGGTCAGTACTTTAAAACACCAGTGATTTTTTTAAAACGTAACTGTAACTCAGATTTATTAATGCACTGAAATCCAGTCATTAGAGATACAGGCTCCAGCTTCACGTGTTGACTTACTGCTTTGATAAGTGATTGCTGGAGTCGATTGCACAGAACAATCTCATGTACCTGCATTGCATACTCAACCTTGTTATTGTAAAGAATGTGCTCTACAAACCTGCTTGTGCCGAATGTACAGAAGAGCCACACGTTGAAGTATTCTAAATATAAATGACATACCTTACCAAAGGTCAGATGAGAATACACTCAGAATCACTTAGGCTCAGAATTGGTGTAAAGGATCTCAAGGCATATCATTCACAGAGACCATGGGACAGGTTTCCAGAAACCCCAAAACAGGAAGAGCAAGTTTAGCACTCCCACCAATGATAAATGTTTAACTAGAAATGCCTTTGGAGTTCAGAGATATTCAGGAATGTAAGTATAACAATGTTTTTTCTTTTTGAAAACAGATAATCATCTTCCTAAATCTCATTACAGGAATTTTTTAAAACTTTTATCATTTGAAGCTTTTCACTCTTAAGCATGCATTGGACACCCACGGTCAGCCTGTTCCTCAGTGTCCCTGTGAAATAGGTGGCTGTTGACCTGAGCCTGCAGAGAATGGGAGAGGCAGATGCAGCCAGGAGGAGCAGGTTCCCAGTCAACTCTGGGAGACTCATTTCAGTTCCCCGGGATGGGATATCACCGGCCCCTAAACCCCCAAGCTGGAACGGTCTGTTTTTCTCTCATGTGATTACCGCCTAATCTAGCTCTGTGTCCTTGGGCAGTTTAGAAAACTCTGCATGTTAGTTCCTCTTTTGGGCTAATGAGCATAGCGCCCCCTGACTAGCACTGTGGTGGTGGTAAAAGTAGGTCATGTGTGGGAGGCCGGACCCCAGCAGGCTCAAGCTCTTCCCTC